ATTTATGGCAACCTATTCACAAAAAATATTCCTAAATCCTAGGGAATAATTTCTTGTTTACGACAATACATTATTCAATATTATTCAATTACTCTCTCTCTCTCTCTCTGTCTCTCTCTCTCTACCTTATTCAATAATACCAATTTAAGTTCAAAGTTATAGGCTGCTTTAATCAGAAATTTAATTAAACGCATGATACAAATCAACTATTGTTCAAAAAGTTTAAAAACAAGATGGTTATGAAATAACATTCAAAATTTTGCAATCTTAATAAACGTGTTTTCACGTCCGTCAAAAAAAATGTAAGATTTTTCATTAATTCTTGTTCATAAAAGATACGTTTGTTTTATGGCGCTCAAAGCGTAAAAAAAGTGCCATAGTGTTTAATTTTTTCCATTTTTTCACACATTTGAATGTCATTTTTAACGCAGATTATCTACACAAAACATAGAAAGCTATAACACTTAACATTAGTCAGAAATTAAAACGCATTAATTTTGCAGTTTAGTTCTTATTTGAGTTCTTTGTATTAGTTAATTGTACATTTAATATCAATGTTTCAAAATAAAAAGCTGTAGATGGTTCTTGATTTTTCTTATGGACGTGAATTTTTTTTTGTATGCAACTCGTTAGTAAAGTATCTTTTTTTTTACTATAGGCTTCGCTCGTAAAAAAGATACACTTTACTAATGTTACATAAATAACTATTTCGTAGCTCGCAACATAACTGAGAAAAAAAATACAACGTTCCGAAAAATCGCTGTGTGCACATCGTAGATGTCTACAGAATCTCTTTCGCTGCGAACAGCTTCAAAAAAACAATTCCATTTTTCTACGTTGTATATGAGTTTTAACGTTATTTGTGACTTTTATTGCCAAAGTTTTTGTACCTTTACTGAATAATTATGAAAAAACATTTAGGTATACTCGTTTTCATATAAATGTGCATCGAAGTCTTTGTTGAAAGGGATCATTTTAAGATGACAACCATGCGAAAATTCAAACAATCCTAAACTCAATCTTCCCTAAAAAATATTTTTCAAATAAATGTGCACCCCCTGTAGCAAAAAATAGTTAAAATTAACAACATAATCAATATAGGATAGCAAACATAAAGATTTTTGTCGTTATTGATGTGATTAAATTCAAGCATTTTTTTTCAATGTATACTTGAGTGTAAAAAATGCAAATTGTCAAAAACACAACTGTCAAATTTTTCAAAGATTTACATAGTGTGAAAAAGGTTGTTCCCAAAAAGGTTAGAAAACTATCAAAAGAAATGTCTTATTTGGTGGTCTTCCATGCAGTGTCATAGTCAGCGTTCAAAACGAAATGGAAAAACATGGAAAACTTGATAGAAGTTTGGAAGATACCTGACAATTATGAAATTATAAATTGTGACAAAGACAACGTCAAATAACTGGCGTTTACTAAAAAAAAAACAATTTGCGTTTTTTTTGCACTCAAGTGTAAATGTTTTTTTTTAATCAAACATTACTATGCAACGTCGAAATTGAATTACAGCCAAAAAACCCAAAAAACCGAAAAAACAAATTTCATTTACGTCTTGATCTAATTTTAATTACGATTTGCATTTGCAATCCAAGTTATCGTATGTTGCTCTAACAGTGCTTTGACAAGCAATTTATGATTTATAAAAAAAAAAACTGTTTGCCTACTTTTAATGTTTCATTTTTTCATACATTTTGTATTGGGTTTACACCGAAAAGACTTTTCTAATTTCTACATCATTCTGCGAGAACTGAATGGCACTAATGATCGTTCTCTGCGCTGATGTCAGAGTGACATAAGATGATAACTTGGATTCAACTTGCAAATCCTAATTATCTGAATGTATATACACAACAAGTTACCTGAACGTAGTACTTTTCTCTGTTGCGGTGCGAGTTACGAAAAAGTTTTTTAATACTTCTTTTGTTCTGAATATTATGATCTAATTTTGCTTATTAAAATCTGCTTCTGCTTATCAAAACCACTCTGTATAATGTTTTGAACAATTAGTTCGACGTTTACGAGACAGCCTGTATAATAGTGATATATTTATACAAGTGAGTTATACTATGTAACAACCCTTGAGTGCCATATAACGTTTTATCCAGCATCTCCACACTGCACAGAAATTAACATTTCATAATTGTATTTTGACTTTACTGACCGTGGGTGACTAGATATAACAGTGGGTAAACTTACGTTGCTACCTACTAGCAAAGTGAGTTTTGGTTTACGGTAGGTAAACCGGGTAAACAGTTGTTTTGCCTAATAAAAATCTCTATAGTAAAACCGAAAAAAAGGAGATGCTGGCTAAATAATATTAGATAATTTTTGAAAGTGATACACATGAAGTTTGAATGGTTTCAACCGAAGACGACTTTTCTTAATGGATGTATTCGATAATAGTGTTCCATGTAACAAAACCACGACCATTTGACGCTGACAAGGCTTGGCAGGACCATATCGACCGTGTCAAAGGCCGTGATCCTTACCAATGGCCCAGCATTTTCCACACTACATACCCCTTCAGCCGTTATCCACTCTATTTGGTGTACAGCAAGAGACCTTCACCAGCTGCTGAAAAGTACGACCCTCATCGCGCTTGGTTAGACCACTTGGACCGTCTCGCTGAACTCGATAAACTTTACCCATCTCTTTGGCCACGATGGGGAAGAAGTCTCTCTCCAACACCGATCAAAGTAAGTACTGACTGCCCATTTCGTCGAAATTTTGACCATTATTTTTTTTATCAACATTATTGTTTTGATCGCCTTAATTATACAGGCTGCGCCAGAACTCGCGCTTCAGATAAAAATGCCACGTAAAATAAGATTACAGAAACATGGAAAAAATGTTAAAAACTTCTATTTATAAAAATTTCGAAGTTATGAGAGTCACCTTGACTCTATTTATTTCTGTGGAAACAATAATTTTCCAAGTTTTTTTTGCAAGAAGAGGAAACAAGGAAGCTGTATTCTAAATTGTAACTCTACAGATTTGTCAATAAGAAATTACCACCTAGGATTTGAACTTCTAGGAAAATTACGTTTTTCATGTTATTGGTAACTAGAATTTTCAGTAGTAGTTTTGTATGCCCAAGGTTGGTTACCCCTTGTTGTTGTCGGTTACGTTTTCTGTCAACCTGCTGTCAACTATCAATTAAATTATCCATACAGGCTGACAGATATCTTAACCAGAAACCAACCTAACCAAATTTATGGCAACCTATTCACAAATATTCCTAATTCCTAGGGAGTAATTTCTTGTTGATCCGACAATATTTAATGCTATTTGTGGCTTTTATTAGCAAAATTTTTGTACCTTTACTACATAATTATAAAAAAACATATACAAGATTATCAGTATTATTAAATAGACATAAAAATATTAAATGTCAAAAATTTTTTACAGATAGAATTTTTTAAACATTTTTCCATGTTCCTGATAGAGCTTGTTCAAAATCTGGTGGTGAACTGACGTTGTCAAAAATGATTGAATTTTGACATTAAGCATTTGTTTACTATTAAAAAAAAATGTTCATGGGCGTCGTAATAAAATGTTTTTCATAACCACTGTTAGGCTTTAAAATTATAATAACTAAGTATTCATACGTAAGATGAAGAATAATGAACAAATTATTAATTTATTAAGAAATAAAAATAATTTTTAACAGTGAAATTTCTAACAATTTTCATCCTCCAAACCACTAAAAGAAAAATCGCTTTCATCGCTGCTATTGTGGGTTATAACAAGTTCATTAACGATTAAATCTAAGTGATTTTCCCTTCTTAAATACTCATCATTTGCGATCACCCGATTTCAAACTTTTTTCCCAAGTCTGTTGTTTTACAGCAGCAAATTCTTCTTCGACTAAAGCTTTAGCAGTATTCAGTTTAAAGGTCACATTTCTTTTTGATACATTATTTTTCACAATTCCCCAAATACTTTCGATGGAATAAAGGTCCGAGTGGTATGGTGGTAATCTCAAAACCGTGTGTCCATATTCAGAGAGCAAAATATCAAACTTGTACTGTATATGTTGTTCTTTATTAGCTTCAATTAATAYATCTGTACTAAAATTTATCTCTCTGTTCAAAAGCCATTTCTTTTTTGTTAAGTTAGATGTTGGAGCCCGGTTTAATTGCACGTTATGATACGATGCATTGTCACAAACAATAACTGAATTTGACTATCATCATGATAGTCCCCGCTTTTGCAACCAGATTTAAAAATCAAAAGGGCATTTGGAATAAATCCCATTGCTCCTCCTGCGTGGACTATAATCAAACGTTTACCCTTGGATATATTTGAAAGTAATCCTTGTAGCGACGAATCGAACCAACCTTTTGATGTGGTGTGGCCAGTCTAGAAATATTATGGGTCGCCCTTGCTCTCGAAATTTTTTAAGTGCCCTAAGATACTTTAAGTGTTTAGCACGAATGTTTTTTCTTTCAACTAAAATTTTTTGATTATCTTTAACAGTTACCCATTTAAAACCAAGTTTTTTTTTTACAATGCGAAAAAGAAATGTTTTCTTTCCTTTAAAATCAAATTCGTTTTTTAATTTCTGAAATAAATTTGAAATCGTAACTCGGCACCCCTCAGTTACTCTACATAGCGGACACCTCTTGATAACGAACATTTTTGTAGGAGCGTAACTAATACATAGGAATGTAATATAAAAAATCCTATCTACAACGGACCCTCTGATTAGCGGACGCGGACAGTGAAATTTTCCCCATTTACCATAAATGTAATATAAATTTACTTCTTACAACCTAAGACCTACAGAGGGGTTTACTCTATAACAGGTACTAAAGTCTACTTTAAAGAAGGTACGAACAAAAACACTCCGCCACTGGTGCCAATCTCAGGGTTACGACCATAGAATTTAAAATTAAATGGGGCTGCCATTTGGTCTTCAAAAATGCAACCAGTAGTGTACAGTTAAATGTTTTTGTTGCATTATCACCTACTTACTCACTTCAATAATAAGTAATATAAATAAAATCATAATAATTTCATCAGTAAATGTAAACTGTTAATAAATGAACGTTTTATATAAGATTCAATGCTTACATCAAGGAGTTGCAGAATACAGAATAACCCCAAGAAAAAGTTGTTAGTTAACGTAATGAACTTCAAAAACATAATCAAAAGAACTTTTGGTCTAAACAAACATAAATTAACAATTTTTTTCAAATAAAATGTTTTTCTCTAATTTTTTTGTAATGCTTTTAATTTCTCAATTTTTGTAATTTTATTTTGTAATTTGGAATAAAAAGCTTTTCAATTTTTTTATTAATTTTGCACACCTCTCCACAACGGACAATTTAAGATTCCCCACCGGTGTCCGTTGTTGAGAGGTTTTACATTTCCTACGGTCGATTTCAGCATTGTGTTTATTAATACTCTCAAAATGACAACTAAATAAATTTTAGAGAAAACAATACACGCCCATGCATTTCATTATCTTAAAGAAAAATCATTTTCGTAAGACCTACTAAAAATTTTATGACACATTATAAGAGATTAACCAAACAATGGCTTGAATTAGTAACCCTCCATAAATGGCACGTTCCTTTGCAAGTGTTGCTGCACCCACCAGAATAAAATAGGGTCGTATTTAAAACCAAAGTAGTGGTAGAGTTTTACCAAGTTATTATTAAAAAAAAATCTGCTTTATTTAATAATAATTTGTTAATAACCACCTGTTTTTTTTTAATTTCTTAAAATACTTGACTACATCAAAAACTATTAAAATATTTCAAGTATTTTAGACAAAAAGAAAGTAAATAATCCGGCCCTGTTAAAAACTGACCTGTTTCAGGGTCCGGGTGGGTTCCACTAATTTATGATTTGTTTACCTTCTGGTTTACTCTTAACAATACCGCATTTAACTTAAAAGTAATAAAATTTTTAGTAGGTCTTAGCAAAATGATATTAGTATAAGCAAGTGTGCGCATTTCAAGTGTCTTTTCTGTCACAGTCAGTTCGCCACCAGATATGGAACAAGTTCTATAGCTTGTTCCAAATTTGGTAGCAAACTGACGTTGTCAAAAATGACTGAATTTTGACACTAAACATGTGTTTACTATTAAAAAAAATATTGTTCATATGCGTCGTATGAAATAATATTTCAAAACCACTGTTATTCTTTAAAAAATTATAATAAGTAGGTACTCGTACATAAGATGAAGAATGATGAACAAATTATTAAACTTTTAATGCATGGAAAGAATTTTCAAAAATGATATTCCTAACAATCCTTGTCTTCAAAATTTTTAGAGAAAAAAAGTACGCCCATGTATTTTTTTATTTTAACCAAGTGGGTGCACTCCAAGTGTCTTTTCTGTCACTGTCAGTTCGCCACCAGATACGGAATGAGCTCTATCTAATCTTGCTTGAAATTTTTCTCTAGAGCGCAATTTCTGACACACCGTGTATTATCTAGATTTTTTTTTAAATAATAATTTGTTTCAGGCTGGAGAATGGGCTCCCCGCCCGTCTGAAGTGGCTTTCAACTACGCCGGCCAACCGATTTACAACCGTGGTGGGCTATTCCCAAGTAAGAGACTGTTCGGCGATCTATTGAATCCCTCTCCCTTCCTTCCAATCTCTTCGATTATTAGTGATCCATTTTGGTGGGATTCCCCTTTGTTGCGGCCCTACTCCCCTTACAACCCTTGGGGCAAGTCCCCGTTCTACCTCCGCGACTCGTACCTCTCTCCCGTCAAGAGGACGTACCTGTGGGACAAACACCCCATCAGGCCGTTCGGTAAGTCCCCAAACTAACCCCACCCCAAAAGGCCCCGAGTTCTGACCCAGACGACCATTGTCCCCTTTTTGATACAGGACAGCCAAAGTTTTTGGTAAATCTTTCTTGTCTTTTTCTCTTATCTCGATCTATTATTTCTGTGATTGTGTGAAACGTAGCTAAGTGGGCTGTGATTGTGAAATTAAGATGGCAACACTAAAAAAGACAAAAAACATTTTTTGCCAATTTTCTTATCTTTAGACTTTTACTCATTTTAATTTCAGAATTATAGCCCACTTAATCAAAAATTTAATTGTAGGTATAATACCAAAACACATGTGGACGCGAGAAAAAAGTTTTTAAAAATTATTTTCATAATAATAATAATTATTATTATGTATTATCATTTTTTGTTTTAGAAAAGTTTTTTCTTTTTGGCATGTTAAATGCTCCAAAACCATAATTTTTAATTACGTTTGTGGTTTATGAAATTATGAAACACAATGAACTTCTGACTCTTTGTATAAAGATCTCAAAAACACTTTTATACGTGCATACACAAATCTTTTTTGCTGTCCAACACAATTTTTTATTTTGTAAAGTGGGTCACATTTTGTACTAACACTTTGCAAAATGCTGCTATTAAACACAGTCACACGACATAATCTAAGGCGTCTCAATGCTTTGCCTCAACAAATTTAAATAAAATAAACTTATACAAGGGTATAATAGTTTATTTGATTTAAATTGTGTATTTGAAAAATGAATACTAATTTGAATTGTTTTTCTAGCTGCTGTTTACTAAGGAAAGCTAAATTGGAGTCACCATCCCACATCGCAAATTTCAGAAGAATGCGACTGACTGAACAAAAAGCTTTTGAAACGTTTGTTTCTTCATTGTAGACAAGCGTTTCTGTAAAGTGTTCATTTTTTTTCTCTTTTATTTTGTTCAATTAAAATATGCATTATACAAATGTGCCTTAAATTATACAAGGAGCATAAAAATGAAAAAAATTGTTATTTTTGTAAAGTGTTTTTCGACTGCATCTTATAATGGCCGTCTGCATTATTACTTTGTTCAAAACGTGTCTCGCATTCCACCCTTATAGACCATTAAAGATGCAGAATAAATTGCAATTAATCGTCTACTTATATGTGGCATGTTATTAATAAATTCTACCAAAAAAAAAGTTAGTTTTATTTCAAAGTAAAGATGGCGTCTCAGTAAACTGTTTTTTTTATATTTATTAGTAGAATTCAAATAAATAAAAAATATAACTAAGTTTATCGTATTTGTAATTCTCTTTCAAGAGAATTTACTGGTCTTATCCTCCATAAACAAATGTTTCAACTACTTATAGATCATTAGTGAAAACTTTGGTTCCTTTGCGTAAAACAGAATATAGAATATACAGGATGTTCCAATGAAAACAAGCCACCCCGAATATCTTAGAAACTAAAAAGACTTTACAAAAACGCCAAAACAGGTCGATTTTGTTTTTGAGGGGAACAATTTTCGGCGAAATTTTTGAATCACCCCCAGTAACCCTTTTCCCCACGCACCCCAACTTTAAAAATTTAAACAGCACTACCCTACTTGTGGAACATCAAATGAAAGCTATTTTTACAAGCTTTCCAAAACTTATTAAGCACCAAAATTAAATCAGACCATCCATTCATGAGATACGGTGTTCTAATAAAAACGAACTAGAAAGAATTTGCAAAAAAAAACGAAACAAATTAATTTTGTTAAAAAAAAAAACATTTTTTGCCACAATTTTAAAAGCACCCCCACTAACCCTTTAACTTTTCCTACCTCAATTTTGAAATTTCAAATGATACCGACTCACTTGCGACAGATCAAATAAAAGTGTTTTTAAAATGTTTTTTGAAACTTTTTTCTAACGTTGAATGGGATTATCTATTCATAAGGTATTCGCAAAAAATAATGTTTCTAATTAGTAATTACTTCTAATAAAAACTATTAAAATAAATTAGAAGAAACATACTAATATTGTTAAAAGTATTATTGAAGCTGTAACAAACTTATTTTTATTTCTTTATTTTATTGTCAAAATAATCGGACTACAGGACAGGGGGTAATAACGTTTCTTATAATTTAATGTAAGTATTTAAAAAATAGCAATGTAGTTCTTAAGTTCTTTTGTACAGGGTACTGCATTTTAGATGTCCGAATAGGGAATCTCCGAAACTAAGAGGTTTAGCCAAAAACGAGTAATATTCTGGGGCTCATTTTTTGAGAAAATAATATTGGTTAAAACCGCATCCCGCTATCGTCTTTTGTTTTCGACTTATAGACAAAAATTGATATTTTAGCGAAATCTAAAAAAATTCATATCTTCGTTATTATAGAAAACACAGATTTGAAATAAAAACATTATAAAGGCACTTTTTTACGGAGAATTTAATATTGTAGTTAGCAATTTTTTTCAGTTGTTTGTTTAGCCGTAATAAAATAAACTTGTATTTTTTTAAATGAGAATCATAGATGGCTATGTCATTTTTAAAAAGCTTGTTTTTTTTCTCATCTAAAAAATATATATTTGTAACAAATTATTATAATACATTTTTAGCAAAAAAATATCTTTGATTTTTGTTCGCAGTTAGCCATGAAAAAATGTTGCATCTTCAACTAAAAGGATTTAAACTATATTATTCAACAAGTGTCACTAATGAAAGAGTTTTCTAAGCACTAAGTAATGAGAAAAATGGAAAATAAATCGTAAATCAACTTATTGGCGACTAATACCATTTCTTTGTTTTTAAACAAGCTAACATTACCATTGTAACTTCTAGTGATACATAGTGTTGTAAAAAAGCCACTTTAATTCTTCAATAAAATATTATATTTTATATGACACAAAAATGACGATATGGTTATTTAAATACCCAAATTCCGTCTATGTGGAACGTTATCCTACCTCCATTAGATCATCAAAAAAATGTTTTTTCTAATTGTGTTGACTGTTGACACATTAGTTTTTCCTATTTTTGGATTTTTTAAAAAGATGTAATAATTTTGTTCTTAGGCGCTTGCATATTTGTATTTTTTAAATTTTTATTTATTTTTATAATTTTATCAATTTTTTCATCTATTTTACAGTTCACAAAACTCTTATTGATTATTATTTACACATTTGGAGTGAAATAGTTTTTCCATGGCCAACTATTATCAAACAAAATATGTATTTCATTTTTTAAGTACAATTATAAAAAAAATATTCTGTTACGAGCATATATTTTTTACATCAGAAAAAAATAAGCTTTTCAAAATTGCCATAGCCGCCTATGATTTCCATTTAAAGAAATACAAGTTTATCTTATTATGGATAAACCAATAACTGAATAAAATTGTTAACTACATTATTAAATTCCTCGTAAAAAAGTACCTGAATAATGTCTTTTTTCAAATCTGTGTCTTCTATAATAACGAATATATGAATTTTTTTAGATTTCGCTCAAATGACAATTTTTGTCTATAGGTCGAAAACAAAAGACGATAGCGGGATGCGGTTTTAACCAATATTATTTTCTCAAAAAATGATCCCCAGAATGCATCACTCGTTTTTGGCTAAACATCTTAGTTTCGGAGACTCTATTCGGACATCCAAAACGCAGCATCCTGTACATATTGACTGCTGAAAGATTAGTTTCTTCTATAAAGAGCATTTTAAAAGTGTTTTCATTTTTTGTATCACTGGTGGTTGGTGCTATTTGACATTTTAGAGTTAAGTGGCATAGAGGTTTAAAGGTTAGTGAAGGTGCTTTTAAAATTGCGTCAAAAAATGTCCCTTTTAAAAACACAATTAACTTGTTTCGGGTTTTTTTTTGCAAATTTTTTCTAAGATGGTTCGTTTATATTAAAACACCCTGTATCTCATGAATGGATGGTCTGATTCAATTTTGGTAAAAAGTTTTGAAAACCCTGCTAAAATAGCTTTCATTTGATGTGCCGCAAGTAGGGTAGTGCCATTTTAATTTTTAAAGTTGGGGTGCGTCGGGGTTAAGTTGTTACTAAGGGTGCTTTAAAAATTACGTCAAAAAATGTCCCCCTCGGAAACAACATTGACCTGTTTCGGCGTTTTTGCAGTCTTTTTAGTTTCTGATATATTCTGGGTGGCTCGTTTTCATTGAAACAACCAGTATAGAAGTAGTTTTTTCTAAGAATAATCTAGTAAAAGAATGTTTTCATTCCTAAAAATCTAGAAAGTCACTATTAATTGCACCCTATTTCACAGAGAATGCTGCAATGTTAATCAATAGTTGGCGTAGAAGATTCCTTACTTCGTATTTTTTAAATGTATATTTTTGAAAACTAATTCACCGTCAATTCAGAGTAGCATTGGTAGACAAATCTTAAGAATCACTGAAAACTAAAATTTTCCATAATAAAATCTATTTCATTTTTAGACAATCATGTATGTACAAAATCATATAAGCTAATCCAATAAAGTGTTTAAAACACAACTAAATGTCACTACATTGCAGCAGCAAGTCTTTTCGGTGTTGGTTTACAAAGTGTGCAATCTTCTGCATCAGACGAACCACTATAAGAACTATCTGAATCAGATGTGCTCGTGTCAGATTCAGATCCTGATCCGTCAGTCTGACTATCGCATTCCATTTCATGATGTCTTCCTCTTATTACAGCATTATAGCAGACTGTATTCAATGGGAAATTATTTATTTCGGTTGGTGTGAATTCCTAAAAAAAAAGTTCAGCACAAAATTGAAAACAAGTAAAACAATTGCTTGTACCCTATAATAATCCGTAAATTGTCCTGGAACTAAAGCTACTGGATAATGCCCAATCTTGGGTTTGTTGATTTGCTTCATTTTTCCTTTAGGAAAATGAACAGTCAGTGTTTGTAGATCCATACAAGCCTTCCTCTGTTCCCTCCGTGTCTAAAATTATATTATTTTACTACAAGTACGGTCAAATTAGTCATAAAAATAGTGGTCAAATAACGAAAATTCCGACAGAGCTAAATTTTGGAGGAGACCTTGGGTACACCTTTAGAAATAAAGTGTCAAAAGTCCCCATCGATACCATGTGTGCTAAAAAACTTATTCGGGGTCAAAGGTCAAAATTTGAGGTTTTTTAGATTTTTTCGAAAACGGTAATTTTTATCAAAAAAGTAGCCCAGACAAAAATTATAGATAGATATAGAAAATTATCTACCAAAATGGTCTTTATACTTTTTTTCTAAGAATCGCCATTCCTGAGATATCGCGATTCTAAAAGTTGAAGGAGTAACGTTCTACATCATATGCACATACAGAGTGGGCCAGAACTCGCGCCCCAAAGACAAATGCCATGTAGGGTAAGATACCAGAAACATGGAAAAAATGTTAAAAAACTTCGACCTATAAAAATTTCAAAGTTATGAGAGTTTAGATTTTGCACTTTGACTCTATTTATTTCTGTTGGAAAAATAATTGTCAAAGTTTTTTTGCTACAGGCCATTAAAAGAGAATACAAGGAAGCTGTATCCTCAATTGTAACTCTGTTTAATGTTATTTGTGGCTTTTATCGACAAAATTTTTGTACCTTTACTAAATAATAATAAAAAAAACATATACAAGGTCATCAGTATTATTAAATAGACATAAAAAAATGTCAAATGTCAAAATTTTTTAAACATTTTTTCAGTACTCTGGGGACTGCCCAATTACTCCCTTTCAAAGAAGTGGGCGATTTTTTGAACACTCTGTATGTATTACCAAATAAATTCTTTTAAATTCTAATGGAATCGAGATATTTATAAATTTCATGAAGTAGAAGAAAAATTTCAAGTAAGATAAGATACCAGGAACATGGAAAAAATGTTTCAAAAATTCTATCTGTCAAAAAATTTTGACATTTATTTTTTGACATTTGACATTTTTTGTCTATTTAATGATACTGATGATTTGGAATATGTTTTTTTTAGAAGTATTTAGTAAAGGTACAAAACTTTTGCCAATAAAAGCCATAAATAACATTAAACAGAGTTACAGTTCAGGACAGCTTCCTTGTTTCCGCTTCTGATATAGCCTGTAGCAAAAAAACTTGGAAAATTATTTTTCCTACAGAAATAAATAAGAGTCAAAGTGCAAAATTTAAACTTTCATAACTTTGAAATTTTCATAGATAGATTTTTTTTTAATTTTTTTAATTTGTCTTTGGAGCGGGAGTTCTGGCGCACTCTGTATGTGCAACTTTTAGAATCGCGATATCTCAAGACTCGTGATTCTTAAAAAAAAGTATAAGAATCATTGTTGTAGATAATTTTAAGATCTATAATTTTTGTTTAGGCTACTTTTTTGATAAAACTTACCGTTTTCAAAAAAAATCTAAAAAACTTTTAACCCCGAATAACTTTTTTAGCACTCATGGGATCGATGGGAACTTTTGACACTTTATTCCTAATGGTGTACTCAAGATCTCCACCAAAATTTAGCTGTCGGAATTTTAGTTATTTGAAATGTCTATTTTGACCGGAGTATACTACAAACTTCCAAAGTTTTAATTTATTAATTTTTTCAGTTACAACTAACACTTTGAAGAAATATCAAAAAATACCTTGTTAAAAGTAGAATTCCAATTAGCCGCTGATTGCACGGCCTGCTGCGTGATATCTATCTTAGTCTTCTCCTGACTTGCAGCCAAACTCAATGCTCTTTGCTTATTGGTCAAATCCTTGGCTTGTCTATCGCGTTGATGTTTGCAATATTCCTCGTATTTATCTTGAAAGTCCGAATACATAATATCCAAAATATCGGCTGTATTGACAGCTGTAAGTCCAAGATCGCACATAGCTTCGCTTGCTAGTCCACTTTCGCGAATAAAATCTCTTTCTTGCATGTCCACTACTCTTCTTTGAATATTGGGATATTTTCTTTTAAATGATTTGATGCCCAGAAATTGGGCGACTTGTTCTTGTAGCATGTAGGGGCCACCACCGCTCCAATAATACTCGGCTAGTTGATCGGCCGAAATAACAGCACCTTCCGGTTCTTGGTGAACCTCTAAACGAGGACCTCTACGTACTTTGACACTTTCAGTGGTGGCTGTGCTTTGGACTGAGCTCTGGGATTCCTCGATAAGGTCCACGCTTGGGATTGACGTAACGACCTAAATAAAAATGAGGTTTCAAAGAACATTTTTAAAAATAATTGGTTGCAGCTTATTTTTATAGCCACAAATGTTAGTTTAAAAAAAAACATTACAGATTAATGACAATATTTAATAGTTACAGCTTGTCAAAACGTTGGATTTACTTAAGTTGTTCTTTCAAGGCGTTATTCTGGGTTACTATCAAATAATTAACTTCTATAATTTAGTTAGCCATGGTATAACAACAATGAACAACTAATTTTTTTTTTAAATTAGGCGAGAAATACACTGTCAAAAAGGCAGTATACAGGATGTGTCAACACTTGCGCCCCAGATAAAAATTTCAAGTAAGATAAAATACCAGAAACATGAAAAAAAATCTGTCAAACATTTTTGACATTTGACATTTTTATACAGGGTGCGCCAGAACTCGCGCCCCAGAGAAAATTTTCAAGTAAGGTAAGATACCAGGAACATGATAAAAATGTTTAAAAAATTCTATCTGTCAAAAAATTGTGACATTTATTTTTTGACAGCTGACATTTTTTTATATCTAATGATACTGATGATCTTGTATATGTTTTTTTACAATTATTTAGTAAAGGGACAAAAATTTTGCCAATAAAAGCCACAAATAACATTGAACAGAGTTACAATTTAGGATACAGCTTCCTTGTTTCCTCTTTTAATAGACTATAGCAAAAAAACTTGGAAAATTATTTTTCCAACAAAAATAAATAGAGTCAAAGTGCAAACTTTAAACCGTCATAACTTCGAAATTTTTATAGATAAAATTTTTTTAACATTTTTTCCATGTTCCTGGTATCTTACCTTATATGGGATTTTTCTCTGGGGCGCGAGTTCTGGCGCACCCTGTATGTCTATTTAATGATACTGATGATCCTGTATATTTTTTAAATAATTATTTACTAAAAGCCTATATATAACATTAAACAGCGTTTAGGATACAGCTTCCTTGTTTGTTCTCCGAATAGCCTGTAACAAAAATTATTTTTCCAACAGAAATAAATAGAGTCAAAGTGCAAAATTTAAACTCTCATAACTTCGAAATTTTTATAGATAAAATTTTTTAACATTTTTTCCATATTCCCAGTATCGTATCTTACATGGCGCGAGTTCTGGCGCGAGTTCTGGTGCACCCTGTATAAGAAAATCTTAAAATTATGTTACAAATTACTTATTTTTCAATTAAAAATATATTTATAACTTAAGATATAGCTAAGTTTATCTTATTTGTAATTCTCTTTCAAGCGAATTTACTGGTCTTATCCTCCATAATCAAATGTTTCAACTACATACTTATAGACCATTTGTGTAAATTTGGTTCCTTAAAACAGAATATACAGAGAAGTTTTCTCTAAGAATAATCTACAGGTGTCTCAAAATTCGCGTACTTCCTTAAAAAGAAGTAATTGGGTAGTCCCCCAGAGTACTGAAAAAATTCTGTCTATAAAAATTTCGAAGTTATAATAAGTGTTTACATTTTACACTTTTTTTATTTCTGTTGGAAAAATATTTTTTTTTGCTACAAGTTATTAGAAGAAGAAACAAGGAAGCTGTATCTTAAATTGTAATTCTGTTTAGTGTTATTTGTAGCTTTTATTGGCACTTTTACTAAATAATTATAAAAAAAAAACATATACAAGATTATCAGTATAATAATACTGATGAAAAAGACATAAAAATATGTCATACGTCAAAAAATATATGTCAAAATTTTTTTAACATTTTTTCAGTACTCTGGAGGACTATCCAATTACTCCTTTTCAAGGAAGTGCGCGAACTTTTGAACAGCCTGTATATWGCATGATTGAAAAAAAAGTACAAAATATTACATACAGGGTGACTCAGAGGTGCGTGCAACCTCTATAACTTATACAAGCTGTCAACTTGATTTTTTTTTTAAATGGTAGGTCCGAAAATGAAGCACATTTAAAAAATATGTTTACTTAATATAGAATGTCCTAAAATAAGATACACAACTAAAATCTGTTTTTTAAAATAAAAACCCCCATTTTGTGTTACATTTTTGAATTCTCCACTAAATTATCGATATAACCGTACGCACTTTCTTAAAATTATCTACAATAGTTTTTAACTTATGTCAATTTATGTGTCAAAATGGCGTCGTGCTTAAACCCACAGAAAAATTTATAACTTCAGAATCATTCAAGATAACTTAACTAACTTTTTCTAGTCAATTCCTTAAGCTTTGGCGCAATTTCTGAGATAAAGGCAAATTTGGAGTTGATGTTCCATCGCCTACTACGATTTTTTGAAAAAATAAATGGCAGTAACCCGACTTTTTTAAATACATTTTTTTCATTTTTCATTTTTTAAATACAACATTTCATTGCATCGTTGCGTAGCATTTTTATAAGCTTTTTTGCGAATATAGAATTTGTGGCATCTACTTGGTAAAATTCGTGATATTTTTGCAAAATAAAGAAATGTACGAAAAAAAATGGAATCTAGTAAGGCGCTGTCGTAAAATTTGACATAAGCCTTCCATTTAACTGATGAAAAGCAACGCTTGCTAGAGTTCAGAAGTCATTTACTAGAAGAGTAGCAGCTTGTGTAGAACGTGATGGTGACTTATTTGAGCATTGAGCATTTTCTAAAAGTAGACTTTTCTCAAAATTTTTACATTTCCTATCAATCATCCTTTCCTGTTCTTGTAAAGATTACTAAAATTGTTTCTTTTGTCATTTTCTCCTGTTTCTATTACAATTTCATTTTGTTGAAACATTCTTTTCAGAATTTTATGGATGTGTCAAATTTTACGACATCGATTTACTTTATTCTTTTTTTTTTCAAAAAAAAAACATTTCTCATTTTGCAGAAATCTTACAAGTTTTACAAAATAGACCCCACAAACCCTATATGTATTGATGCAATAAAATATAGAATGCTGTATCTAAAAAAGTCGAGTTAATGCCTTTTGTAATTTGTGATTAAAAAAAATCGTAGTAGGCGATTGAATATCGACTAAGAGTTTGCCTTTATCTCAAAACTTGGGGAATCGACTGAAAAAAAGTTGGTTACGTTATCTTAAATTGTTCTGAAGTTATGACTTTTTCTCTGGGTCTATGTACGACGCTCTGTTTTTGACACAACTTTTGCAGATAATTCTAAAAAACTGAGTGCGATATATCGACAATTTAGTAGCAAATTCAAAAATGTAACAAAAATTGGGGGTATTTATTTAAAAAAACAAAACTTAGTTGTGTATCTTATTTTGGGACATCCTGTATTAAATACAAATATTTTTGAAATGTGTTTCATCATAGGACCTATCGTCTAAAAATAAAAATCAAGGCGATAGCTTGAATAGAAAAAAGTTATGGAGCTTGCACGCACCTCTGTAAATACAGGGTGTGTCAAAACTCGCGCCCCAGAAAAAAATTTTAAATAAGAAGATACCAGGAACATGGAAAAAGTATTTAAAAATTTTTATCTGTCTAAAAATTTTGATATTTGACACTTTTTATGTCTATTTATTTTTTTCCATGTTCCTGGAATCTTACCTAATACGACATTTTTCTCTGGCGCACTCTGTATATTGTAGTACTTCTCAATAAAAACCTAATACCAATCAAAAATCGTATTCTTAAATCAGAGAAGGCTTAGGTAATTTTTCTAGGTAAGACTTTTATCTGTTTATTTTTCATAACCTTCACCAATTAAATGATTACATTCAACATTCTCGAACAATTGCTTACTTGTTTGGCCGGCGTTTGAGCTCTACTACTAGTTTCCGCACTCATGCGCGTCTCTTCTTCATACATCACAATATCAGCCCTATCGGTGGTCGAAATATCTTGTGGTGGTGCTAACAGTGACTGTGATGGCGACTTGTAAAATCCATCATCGATTTCGATCGGTTTGACTTCAGTTTTATCACTCAACAGTAACAAATCTTCTTTAGCACAGGCCAATTTCGGTTCCTAGATAAGCACACACTTTAGAAATGTATAGAATTTTGCCTCCTAATGTCATAATTGTTATGAAAAAACTGGAATTATCGTGTCTGAGATGTTCTAAACTTGACCAAAATAACATTTACTGAGCACAGCAGGTGAACATACTAAAAATAGATCATCGCGAGATTATATTTGATCCATGTGGGTAAACTCGTATTTTCTGACATCTTCTCCGATAAGAAGTAACAATTTTTTGTACCAATTTAATAAAATCAGTATTTATTATAACAATATTTGCCCTTAATACCGTTGACACGTTAAGTAAAATTTACAATCGAGCTTTCTTAAATCACTTACGACTCAAAAAAAAAATGTTATAGCAATATCTGAGTTTGCAAACAATGAAATATTAACGTTATTATTACGCATACTAAAGTACTTTAAAAAACTTGTTTCATCTGCGTTCTATCTTCTACATTTACTAAGTATAACTATTGCTGGAAAAGTTTATAAATAAATCGTGCTAAGAGAATGTATTCGGTGCAAATATATGGAGAAAAACAGTTATTCTTAACTAGCATATTTCAATTTTTGCTGTCTATAATTAATCCAAAACTGTGAAAAAAGTAAAAAAAATAGGTAATTGTTATAGTTATAAAACCTTTAACGATTAATTTTAAGCTACATCATTCTGCGTACAAAAAGAAGAAAAAAACCTATTTTAAATTTAATTTTTTATCAATCAAGTCTTTCCTATTCGCTTAATTTTTGTTTATTAATAGCAAAGATATTAACAAAAAACTTTTAACAGGCACACTCTGTATCTATAAAATTCGACATAGGCTTACCTTTTTACGCACAAATATCCGTAAAACTTCAATTTCAGAATGGTATAACCAGCTAACTATGTAGTTAAAATTTGTACTGTCACCATTTGTCGAAAGTCCTATTAAATGTCTGCTCAAAGTGGTCTGTGACTTTAAAATTAAGTTGTCAACCAACCGACGCGACATTAACGATATACGGTGTTCGATTTAATTAGTTAAAAAACAACTTACATTGAGAAACGCCTTTAATAAAAAATGCTAATTGAAATACTGATAACAGATTTGTAAAGTTTGTTGTTCACATGAGTGTATCTCGGTAAATGTTATAAAAGTTCAATCATTTAATATTAAATTTCTTTTCTATTGCCACAAAATCCATATGTAACTTATGTAACGTTTATTATTCCAAATAAATGAAATTCATTTCAACTTTGAAAACATTTTAATAATCATTTGCATAGTCCTTTACAAAAGAAGCTTAAATAATAATTAATCTCAAATATAATATCCCTAAATTATTCATTCATTCTTTACCACATTCAATATCACAACTTTTTTAAAGTAACATTTTATAAACATAAAGCTTGCACAGATCTGATTTTTGTTTAAAATTATTTTGTCTTCTTTTTAAAGCTAGTAAATACTTGAACATTGTAATTTATTAATTATAATGTTATGTTCACATTCCAGTTGCAATTATTTCGAAAACTAAAAAGAAAAATCAAATTCAGCTACAAACCTTCAAGAGTGTATTAAAACTCACCTTGGCGGCTTTTGGCGACATTTCAGGAGGTGTTGGGGTACTTCTCGTCCCCATTCCTCGTTTGCTTCCCCTGCCCCGACCAGGACCCCTTGGTTTTCGAGGCTTAATACCAAGTGTCGTTCTTACTGATTGTCCCCTGCAACTACGTTTTGGACGAGTGGACTCAATCACGGGTTTGGGTTCGTCTTCTTTCGGATCTTTAAAGTCTTCTCGCACTTGCAACGGCACCTGAAATTGTAATTACTTATTAGCTAGCTGTCTAAACCCTAAAAAACTTCGGATTTGTTCATTAAAAAAATTTCTTCATTTTCATAACTGCAATTTTTCGCAATTTTTAGCCAATTTACACAAAATTTTGAGGGCCAAACGAACTTCAAATTTGAATTCAGCGCATCAAAATACATACAAAGTGATGAAGAATAAATTAATCTGTTGGTAATACTGACTTTTTTAAAGGAAACCACTATAGTATGCTTCTGATTAGCAACAATTTAACAATCTTGAAGGGTTGTATGTCAAGTATTTGTCAAGCAAAATGGTATCCGGTTGCAGTGTTACAAATTATTAACAAAAATACTTTCAAACCTGTTGTCAACTTAAACAGACCTAAATGATCACGCTGTAGATAGATGGGTCTGGTCAAATGTACAGTTGGAGACAAAATATTTTGGTCGTCACTTTTCTGACACTTTAATGTAATTCAAAATAAATGACAATTTCAAATTAATGACAGCTATTATATTTTCCTATCAAAAATATGTACATACAACTTGTCAACTATGATTGACAGTAGCTAAAAATAAGGATAACAGTCCTAAAGCATGCTTTACAATTTAATGTCACTCAAGTGACATTGACGACCAAAGATTTTGTCTGCAACTGTATAGCAGCAGCAATTTTCCAGCAGTAGATTATATTTTTTTTTAAATACACTAACAACATTAAAATCACCAAAACTATTTTATATGGCAGCGTATTATTTATTATGTTGGTGATATTCACTTTGTGGTGTTCTATTTGGACTTTTTAAGTTATTTAACTATTAATAAAATTCAACAAATCTATCTTTACAAATTCAATACACAAAACCTTTAAAATTTGTACTTTCTTCCTTGCAGTAAGAATTTTTTTTGTAGGTGTCTTGGTTTTTGTGTAATAAATTTAAAAAAAAAAAGTTTTTCCAAAAAACCCAACTTACTTAAGTTCGTATAGGTATTTATTTTTTAAACTCGTTGTATAGTTGAAAATATTTTCAGACAATGCAGTAAATTAGTATCTATCAATTTCCTATATATTTTTTTTAATTTTAAGATCTATACAGGGTGCGCCAGAACTCGGGCCAGAGAAAAATTTTAAGTAAGATAAGATACGAGGAACATGAAAAAAATGTTTCAAAAATTCTATCTGTCAAAAAATTTTGACATTTATGTTTTGACATTTGACATTTTTTTGTCTATTTAGTGATACTGATGATATTGTATATGGTTTTTTTACTATTACTTAGTAAGGGTACAAAAATTTTGCCAATAAAAGCCACAAATAACATTGAACAGAGTTACAATTTAGGATATAGCTTCTTTGTTTCCTCTTCTAATAGAATGTAGCAAAAAAACTTGTAAGATTGTTTTTCAAACAGAAATACATTTATTTCTCTATTGAATCAAAGTACAAACTTTAAACTCTCATAACTTCGAAATTTTTATAATAATATTTTTTTAACATTGTTTCCATGTTCCTGGAAACTTACCTTATTTTTCTCTGAAGCGCGAGTTCTGGCGCCCCCTGTATGTTATTTAAATTGCTGAAAGTTCTAGATCATAGTCTTTTACCAAAAGTGAGTTGCCAATAAAAAAATTGCAAAACTCAAAAACTAAAAGATTTTATTCTTGAGATATTTTAAGTTATCTTTGATTTTCGTATCAACACATTTCCGCTAACAAATAACATTGACATTAAACGTTTCAAATATTAGCATTTTTTGGCATTTCTTGTAATTTGAGAATCTATTTTTCTGGGCCAAAAAACTGATGTCAATGTCGAAAACATACAAGGTGAATAAACAGTATGAAACCAAGCGTTTTTTTAAAATCATTTGTTTTCAGAAAATAATAATTAATTAATAAAAATTGAAGTGCCATAAAAAATGTGATCGTGTTTTCAGAATGTAATTTTATATTGTTTTTGAGTTATACGATTTGTTTTTGTCAATATGGAAACTTAAATAAATTTATTTTCGAGAAAAATTAAGTAAAATGTAGATAGCTGTAATCCTTAGATCAAACCCTTTAAAGAAGTAATTTATTAAAAAACAAGTGTTACAAACACTCCATTGTGAGAGGTTGTAACACGTGTTTTTTAATCTATTTTTTTATAAAGCATTTTTAATTAAATTAATTTTTATATGTATTTGACAATTAATATTGATATTATTGATTGAAAATAGCTCAAATTTCATTATTTTATAAGAAAACTCTTATTGATTGAAAATAGCTCAAATTTCATTATTTTATAAGAAAACTCTTATTGATTGAAAATAGCTCAAATTTCATTAGTTTTGAGAAAATACGTTGATCTACAACAATTTCTCACTTAAAAACGACAGTATGTGATGGCAAAAGTATTGCATAAAATGTTGCCAAAAAAACAATGTTACAAAGTTGCATTTTGATCAACTGTTTACAGTTACACACAAGATGCTCATTGTGACATCGAAATAGAAAAAAAAAGGTTTTATAGTAGGTTGTCACTTAAAAAAAATAAAAATTCGGTAGAACTCAATAACAAAAATAAAATCACGAAAAATGTTATTCTTGATAAAATATCACATTTTTATACTCTTAGTACTTTACCATTCATTAGACTCTATTCGATTGTTTACTACATCTGTTTCCAAGACGGTAAGTTGTATTTACTTGTTGCTATCCCAAACTCGTTGGTAAGTATGTTGTTTATTGTTGCTAAGTCAAAATGTTGCATTCAAAATAGTCGCCAAAGTATTTTTCATAATCGTTCCTTTAGATACATAAGGTGTGAAGTGGTATATAACTAAATATACAGGGTGCGCCAGAACTCGCGCCCCAGAGAAAAATGCCATATAAGGTTAGATACCAAGAACATGGAAAAAATGTTAAAAAATTCTATCTATAAAAATTTCGAAGTTATGAGAGTTTAAATTTTGCACTTTGACTCTATTTATTTCTGTTAGAAAAATAAGTTCCCATGTTTTTTTGCTACAGGATATTAGAAGAGGAAACAAGGAAGCTGTATCCTAAACTGTAACTCTGTTTAATGTTATTTGTGGCTTTTATTGGCAAAAGTTTTGTACCTTTACTAAATAATTATAAAAATCATCAGTATCATTAAATAGACATAAAAAATGTCAAATATAAAAAAAAAAATATCAAACACATGAAATTTTTTAAACATTTTTTCCATGTTCCTGACATCTTATCTTACTTAAAATTTTTCTCTGGGGCGCGAGTAGGTCGACACAGAAAAATTTACATGTAAAGAAATTCTATAGGCGACTAGATAAAAACATTTAAAACACGCTGTATAATTGAATGCATAGTGTAAACGTCAATATGTATTAATTATATTCTAAACAAGCAAAATTTAAATTATATCCTTTTAATCTTGATATTATTACCTTTCGCGGTCTTCCCCTTTTCCGCGGAGTCGGCAATGTGGCAGTCCCTTCCAAAAGTGGCTGTGGATTCAGCGTCTTAACACTATCTGGCGTAATCTCGAACACTGGAATATCAGCCATTGGATCGCGCACTTCCATCATAGTATTATTACTATCTTGATTCGATTCTTCACTGATCACAATCGGCGATGGTTTACTTGTCTCTTCAACAATCGAAACTTCATCATCGTCATCGTCAATAGTCACCACTTTATCACTTGATAATCCACCTCGGCTAAGCATCTCTTTCAATTTCGAGTGTTGAGATGTTATAGGTGTTATCGTAAGACCTGGCAGCATTTCAGTGTCAATCTTTTGTCTTTTAGACTTCTCATAATCGACCTGTTCTGCCACACGTTTGTTGTGAGATTCATCTTGGACGATATGTGGATGACCACCTTCTTTTGAAAACTTCAATTTAATTTTAGTCAACTTTTCTAATTTTTCTTCCTCCTGAGAAGCATCTCTTCTCTTTGAATCCTTACTACTACCAGGTAACGTACCCTTGTTAATCTTTAAAACTATTCTTTCCTTAACCGACTCTTCATAATCATCAGACGCTTCCACTTCTTGTGGTTTCACAATTGGTTTGATAGTTATTTTTGGGCTCGATTTTTCAACTTGTTCTTCCTTCTCTTGCGGTTTTAATACAGGTTTTATCGTCACTCTCGGAATTGGTTCGGTAATAGGCTTAATGGTAATTCTGGGACTGGAAAGTTGTTCTAGTTCTTCAGGTGGTTTGACAATAGGTTTAATAGTCACTCTCGGGCTGTGAACTCTTGGTTCAGAAATACACTCTTCATCCGGTTTAGGGATCGGTTTAATAGTTAATTTTGGACTGTGTTTCTGTCTGTGAATGTCGTCAGGTTTCAAAACCGGTTTTATGGTAATTTTTAATGGTGCCAAAGGTTCTGGAGTCTCAGGTTTAGGAATCGGCTTAATAGTAATCCTTGGACTAGCCGATCTTTGGTTACTACTTGGACTAAATACTTGTTTAGAAGTTTTAGAAGTTTTTGGACTCTGAGGTTGTTCGTTGGGTTGAACTATTGGTTTTATTATAAGCTTCGGTACAGTTGGCTCTTCATGATTCTGTGATTCGTCATCTGGATTATATATTTTAAGAATCGAATGTGTATTATCAGACTGTTTCGTAATGGTCATTTTTAATGATCCTTTACTTCCTTCAACAAGTTCACCGGCGGAAACACTCGCTTCTTCCGTCTCTTCGGGTGATTTAATAGCTTTGATTGTAATTTTAGGACTGTATACTCGATGTTTATCAGTTTCATCAACATTAATAATTAGAGGCTCCTTTAGTTTGTCTTCTTGACGTGCAGTTTCCGTGTTTTGCTGCTCAGACAAACCTTTTTCAATAAATAAAGATTCAATTCGCTCGTCTTGTTCTTTCGTAGCAAACGGAGTAAATTCTGGTGTCACTTCCGGAACAAATTTGGGTTTATAATCTTCAGGAGGCATATTATAATCAACATTTTGCAAACTTGCCACAGCTAATAACGTCTCCAAATTATCATCCTGTATTTCAGGCTGTGGCTGGCTTGATTCCGTAAAAATCTCATCTACTGTTGGTAAAACTGTTTCCATATTCGATTCTGACGATTGTTCAATTGTACTAGAAGCAAGTAATGCACCGCTGCTTTCTATATTTTCTTCGGGTAAAACATTCGATTTATTATCATGTAAAGTAGATATAACTTTTAATACATCGAGATGTGAAACAGCCCCTTCTTCAACAGATGAAGATGGAACCTGAGATTCTTCCTTACTTGGTGGTTCATCAGCGACTGTATTTTGAACTAAAATATCAATTTCTTCAGTTAATGCATTAGAAGGAATTTCCATTGGCTCAGTAATAGAATCACTTGGTGTATCATTTGTTTTTTCCAGTGGTGTAGTCTCGGACAAAATTTCCGACGGTGTAGTTTCAGGTAAAATTTCCGTTGGTGTAATTTCGGAAGGATTATCCGGTAGTGTAGTTTCGGATAAAATTTTCATTGATTTAGTTTCATCAACCATGTTGTCTAATGTCATTGCCTCCGATTCAACCATATTTAATGTATTCTCGGATGTTACAACTTCTGAATCCAAGTATACAGGTTGAGACATATTCTGGTTAGATGTTACAGTTTCGGGCACAAAATCAGAAACAGGTTCATCAACTGAAGGCTCATCACCCAAACCTTCTAACACTTCAAGATTTGTAACATCCCCTGTAGATAATGGTAATGTTTTGTCTCCGATCTTGTTTTCATTGTCAGGTGTTTCAGTCATCTGATAATCACAGTCTTCCCTTTCATTTTTAGGTTCGTGAGATTTACCTGGAGGAAGAACAACAAACTCGCTGACGTCTACTTTATTTTCTGCTAAATTATTAACTTCTGAATCTTGAACAGTTTTAATATCTTCAGTAATAACTTCCGAATCTTGAACAGTTTGAATATCTTCAGTAATAACTTCCGAATCTTGAATTTTAACTTCCGTGTTCTCTTGTTCATTGCAGCTTTCTTTTTTCTCAACGTTTCCCATTGTTTCTTCAGATACATCAGTAATTTGATCATCTTTGTCAATTGTCACGTTTATGCAGTCTTTAGATTCTGACTCAGTCTCTTTTATCTCCTCAATAGGTTGGACTTCTTTCAGGTCCGTTGTTTCATTAGTATCCAATCGTTGTTCTAATATACTGACGTTAATATGACCTTCATCTATGTGTTTTACACTATCTTCAGAATCTACTGTTTTATGGTCTTCCAAAACAGATATACCTTGACCTCCATCTATGTGTTTTACACTATCTTCAGAATCTACTGTTTTATGGTCTGCCAAAACAGATATACCTTGTTGATCGTCCACCTGATTCACGTTCGATTTTTCTGTAACTTCTTCATCAGATTTTGAAGAAATATTCTCCCTATCTTCATTATCTTCCACATTTTTCGATGCATTGTTAACCTGAGAAACTTTATCCTCGAGGTCTAAATTTTCTTGTTTTTCTTCTCCTGGTTTACTTTCAAGAATTGATGAATCTTCTGTAGCGTTAGGTTTTGGATGTGTGGACGATATATGTGTCGTATCAGTAAATTCAGATTCAGAATTATTTTCTGCATTAAATTCGGCGCTGTCATTCGTTGCAGAATCAACACTGTCTTTATTATCAACCTCGGACTGCGTAACCGATTCAGATGCTTCTTTTGAATCCACCTTAGTGGGTTCAACTGCTTTGTCTGCAACAATTAAAACTTGTTTAGAAAAATAAAAGCATTCCCATATCAACTAATACAAGATCAGCAATGAATATACAGTATATCCCCGGATTGAATTTACAAAAGGATTTTTTTTATCTTTGATTTTACGCCAAAATTGCAAAGAAAAAACATTTTGTCTTAGAGGTTGAGTTTTTGAGCTACCTTAGACCATTGTTTTCGGTGATAGAAATCAAATATTATTCACAAGTAAGATAAAGTACTTAAAGTGAGATAAAGTACTCAAAAGTGAGTGAAATTTGACTATTATATTATATTTACTATTATATTTTTATAGGTGAACAGGGCCGCCACAAACGGGGGTGCAAGACGTGCGACGCACGCGGGCGCCAGAGTTAAGGGGGCGCCAGAGTTAAGGGGGCGCCACAACGGTAACAAATTTAATAAAAAAGACATTTTGAATTTCGCAGTAAACAAAAAAAAACTGCAAGAGAAATACAACCAAACAAAAAAAAAAAACAAAACGTTATGTGAAAAAGCTAGTCATGTGGCCATTTCCTGCTATAGAGATTAGAGTTCGAACACTGTAAGATGTACACCATGAGCCATTCAAACGGCTTGTTGGATTTAAATGACTCAAGATGTTCATCTTACAATATTCGAACTATAATAAAGCTATTGCGCCGCCAAGTTCACTGAATCTGGACTTCTGAATAAAACAAATTTTATATCGTTTCTTAGAACTTTTGAGTTAAAAAATACACATACTAAGATCGCATCTAATTTCCTATTTCTTTTCATTAGTTTGCTTTATTACTTAGTGGATTTGTACTTAGTGGTAGTCGAAAATTTGTTTTTAAATTAATGATTTTTGTGGAAGTATTACAATTAAACAAATATCTTGGTACCATTTTTTTTAATTTTTAATCATATTTTAGTTATACGTTTAGATGAAAGCTTGAAAATGTAATGACTGAAGCAAACAAAATTGCTGACGAACTTAATGTTGAACCAAATTTTCCGATGATGCAAACTGTACGCCCAAAACCCTTTGACTACGAAGTACGAACATCAAGACGAAGTTGTGCTATATGCAAAAAATAATTTCAAAACTAACTTTTCTACAGGATTTTGAATCAAGTTTTGTCTTCTTTAAATAATAGGTTTGAAAAACTAAATACATTTAATGATACATTTGGATTTATTAACAATATGTTTAATTCTTTGGAAGAAGAATTATTAAAAACTTTCAAAGACTTTTAAAGCTTTAAAAATACATTTCATCGAACAAACTATGCAAAAACCATAAAATATTTTACAAAATCTTTTTGAAAATAATTTAATTTCTACTTTTCCTAATACAGCAATTACATTAAGAATTTAACTTTCCTTACCAGTTTCAGTTTCGTATGGCGAAAGATCTTTGCTAAATTAAAAATCATTAAAAATTATTTAAGATTCACCATGGTTCAGTCTAGGTTAAGCAACTTATCTACTAGTGCAATTGAACAAGAGCTGTTAGATAATTTAAATATAAAGGAGCTGGTTACAGAGTTTGCAAATATGAAAGTGAGGAAAATACAATTTCTTTAAGGATTTATTTTATAGTTTCTATGATGTTATATGTTTAATTTTCTTATTTGCGTTTTTAAAATCACAAATTTAATTATCTTTGATTAAATATTTTTTTTGTTATTTTGTTTTATTTATTGGCACTTATATATTTTTAGGTATCATACCTATGTAATAAAATAAGTATACCCATATTTTTTTAACAAATTAACAAGGGGCGTCAAATTCAAATGTACACGCGGGCGTCAAAACCCCTAGCGGCGGCCCTGTAGGTGAATATTTTATTTAAATAAAACTTCATTTTTTGGATAGTTGCACCTGTAAGATAAAACGTCGTATATCACACGTGATCGAAATGCCATTATGAAACTCGTGAGAAGTGTCTCACTCATGCGCAAGCGCACTCGTCGGTCAAAATTCTCACTCGCGTATAATGATGCATTTCTATCACTTATAATACAGTATGTTATTGAAATGCGTTAAGAAACTTTAAACGGTGATAGAACTCATCAAAACAAATTACTTCTATATTTACCATTTTTTGGAAAATTCAAATTTATACTTACAATTACTTTCATCGTATTCCGTGTTATCGAGTCGTTTATGGATGGCACGGTACGCAAAAAAAGTAAATACGGCAAAAACCCATGCAGATAGGTCTTGCAAAAACTTACTGACACAATTTAGTCACTGGATGCGGCCGTGTTTACAATTTATTGGAAAGTGAATTTTCCGTAATTATCGTCAAAAATGGTGCAGTACACTAATCCCCGGAGTTAACAGACATGGTGTTGATCTACGGGGAAGCTTTATCGAATGCTGCTGGAGAGATTTGGCGGTCGCCAAGTTCAAATTTAGAAAATCGGTGGATAGGTCGTAATGGGCCAGTCTTATGGCCAGCTCGTTCACCGGACTTAAATCCTTGTGACTTTTTTCTATGGGACCATTTAAAACAGATTGTGTATGAGACTCCAGTTAACACCGTCGAAGAATTAACTGTTCGTGTGAATAATGCTGCCGAGTCAATTCGACGAAATTCCGACATGTTGGTGAGAACTAAAGCTTCTATAGCTCGAAAGGCACAAACATACATCGATAACGGAGGGCGTTATTTCGAACATTTAATTTGAAGGTTAGTGCCCTTGATCAAGTGTGGTGCTCTAATTAATCCATTTGGGCAAAAACAGCCCCCGAAAAATCGAAATTTGAATTTATCGGGTTATCATTACTAAGAAACGAACTATCAAGTCATTGTTGTCAACAGACAATTTGTCAGCTAAAAGCCCTTGCTTAAATTAAAGCCGTTTTAATTTTAGATTTGAAAGTTATCAAAATAGCTAAAATGCAAAATGCATTGATCAATACATACAGAGTGGAATTTTTAACTGGAATAAGATTCATAATTTGAATATAAGCGATTTTTGTAAAAAATCTTGAAAGAGGTCGATTTTTCTTTTTCTTTGTGCATCGTTATAGTTTTTGTTTATTTGCTTTCTGAAATGCACAGCCACCTATAACTTTTTTTCAAATGTAATGGTAAAAAAACAATTTTCATTAACAAACTAAATTTTGACAGTTCAATTAAATTTGAATCTGGAAGTCAAGCTTACCTATCTAAAAACTAAGGTTTTGAAATAGGAACAACGTGATAAACTAGAATTTATTCTTCGCAAAACAAAACATCAAAAAGTTATAAAAGATGCTCGAATACACCACCTTCCACTTCTAAACTCAATTCTACTCGTTGCCTCAAATCCTGAATAACGTTTTTAGAGTTTATTTCAAAGCACTCTTCGAAAAAACGCTTTTTTTAATTTTAATCAGCATGTAAAATCTGATCATATCGTGTGATAACATTGTTGTAATCAGAAACAAAAAGTCTTTTCAAAAATACAGAAATTAAATATGGCGTCCATAAGAAAATCCAAAGTTGAGTGTTGTAACTCTGATATCAAGAGCGCCTTGGAAAATACGATGACAGATTTAGATTTCTTGTAAATAGTGCCTTAAAAAAGTCCTAGGTAAAAACGTCTAGGTCTTTTAGTTTTCACTTGAAAAAATAAAAACAAAAATTACAAATTTCCGTTTTTTTCCAATAACTCAAAAACTAAAAATGACACATCAATTTTTTTTTCAGATAATTGTTCAGCATAAAAATGATCAACTTTGCCCTGATTTAACAAAGCTCGTATATCTTATAATAACTGAGATCCCCATGATGGAGCTCAAAAAACGGACAGCCTGTATACAGGATGTTCCGTCTAAACCCCACATTAGAAGTATTGGGAGTTCGAAAAATCGTATTTATTTGAAAATTGGTACATAGCTATATTTTTTACTGCGTTTTTGCATTAAACGATGAGTGACATAAGATGATAACTTGGATTCAATTTGCAAATCCTAATTTAAATTGGATCAAAGGCGGAAATGAAATTTGATTTTTGGGTTGCATCGCCAGATCGTCAGGCTCATTACCTTATCTGAATCGCCCTGTATATGTGCCTTAGAGAGTGGTTAAAAAAAGATTTTTTTAAAATCAATCTCTAAGGGGGTGAAATGGGGTGTAAACATTTAAACAAAGATAAAAACATAAAATTTGAGAGACATATTCCTTAGAGAGGTTGTAGAGGTCCACTAAGAAATTTTTTTACAAAAACCAACTTATAAAGAGATGAAATGGGGTGTAAACGTTTAAAGAAAAATAGAAACATAAAATTTGGAAGATATGTTCCTCAGCGTTTGTAAGGAGACACTAAAATGAGATTTTTCAAAAATAAGTTTCTAAAAGGGTGAAATAGCGTGTACATTTTCAAACAAAGATAGAGACATAAAACTTTGGAGGGTGTAGAGGTCCGCTAAAAAAAGATTTTTCAAGTGAAATAGGGCGTCAACACTTAAAAAAATAGAAACAAAATTTGGAAAATATTTTTCTTAGAGAGTGTAGAAGTGCACTAATCAGACACTTTTCAAAAACGAACCTTTAAAACGGTATAAGATAGGGTGAAAACATCTAAACGAAATTATAAACATAAAATGTAAAATTTTAAKGGTGTAGATGTACTCTAAGAAGACACTTTTTGAAAATCAATGGGGTGTAAACGTTTGTTTACAATTACATTTTCTTTAGCATCAGTTCTCTGCTACCGCGTTGGTTTGAGTTAGTTAATTAAGAAAAGAATAGATAAACAGATTAACTTCACATTCCCTCTTTGAAATTAACAAATCTACATGGACGAAGTCACAAGTGTAAGCTAGGTAGTTTAATATAAATTTTAAGTACTTTAGAGCTAGGATTGGTTTGGTAATGCGATATTGATCTTGACTTACTAAATAATCTACATTTTAAATTTCGTTAGGATCCGTTGGCAAATAACAGAGATATTAAATCCGAAAGTTTTAGGTGGGACAGCCTGTATGTACAACAATATATTAATATTCGTTAATAATAGTAAGTATGTACAGTTGCGGAATTAAAATTTCGGGCAGTATTTTTCTCCCACTTCAAAAAGTTCACTGTAAACTACCTTTTACTGTCATCATGAAAGACATTTGACAATTAAACTTTTCTGTCAGTGAACTAAGTGAATTTAAATCATCGCTTTGATCTGCTGCCTACGCGTGATTATGCCACAAATCACTATTTTTGAAAGTAAATAAGTCGAAATTACATAAACATGGCAAGAGTAAAAAATGAGGTTATTACTGTAAAGGTCGTTTTAGAGTTTACATTATGAAAATGACAATACTGCCCAAAATTTTAATTCCGCAACTGTACCTTAACATTTACAATAACATCACAACATAAATAAACTACAGGGTGTCATATATTGGCTGGATTATAAAAAACGCCCCAAGTCATAATTTCATTACTTTTAAAAACGTTACAATATTTCTTTGTTAATTTTGCAATAAAGTAAGTAAAGAAACTTGTGTACTTCTTCATGTTTTTCTGGTCTCTCACTCTCACTTCTTTGTTTCATAAGAATAATGCACTAGTTTTCAAGCTTTAAAATTCATTTATCGGTTTGTTAATCTGTATCAAATTGAAGAAAAAGTTGAGAAGGAACAATACCTGTGAAGAAGTTTTAGAGAGAAGTTGGTTCATCAGGAATTTCCAGAATGTTTCAAAATAATTTTTGATAATTGTTGATAATAATTAACGATTCTGTCTCATTATACTCGTGTACAACCCCTTCAGCGAGAAAAATACTGGAAACTAGCAGGTTATGTCACCCACATCACGAAAATTAATAAATGTCAAACTCAAAATTACAGTAGACCAGCTATTTTTTAAAATTCTGGACAAATTGGTATTATTTTCGTAACCTAGCAACGAATATAATTTTTCAATCACACCTTGAGGTGCCCTTCTGGGATTGGTGGATTTAAGAGTCTAATAACTTTCTTATGCAAGCAAAAATTACTTCTTCGGCTGCACTTTTTGGCGACCTATTGACCCCGGCATTTGACATTTTTCTCTAGGGCGCGAGTTCTGGTGCAGCCCTGTATAGTTGTCAAATAAATAAAAGCGCTAATGTAATAGGATTTAGTCGAAAATAAAAAAAAAGTAACTTTTTTTTCACTGAATCAGAATAATGAAGTTTTAATTACAGATTTGCTCGTTTCAGGTGAAGCGAAAAATGTTTCTCCTTTGCAGTTTTGGCGTAAAATAAAAGTTAAAAAAAAAATTCATCTTGTAAACCCAATCCGAGGACGTACTGTATATTTAATATTTTGGTGTTGTTATTTCGACAATTAAAAGATCTATCGAATTTTAAATCAAGTTGAAAATTGTGTATTTTTTAAAAAGAAAATTGACCTGTTCAAGCATTTTTGTCAAAACAAAATATTTTCAGTTTTAATAAAACTATTCCATAATTTTGCCGCTCATCTAAGGATTACAATTTTATGTTTTATTCACAATTTATCGATAAAAAATTTCATATAAGTTACCATTTAAAAACAATTGGAAAACTCAAAAACAGAGCACTTTAATTATTATTATCATTTTCAAATATTAAAAAAAGCTTGGTTCCATAAGTACTTTTTCTTTACCTTATACATAATAAACAAATAAATTTATTGAAATAAAGGAAAAAAAAAATATCTTTCATTTTACACCAAAACTGCAAAGGAGAAACATTTTTCGCTTCACCTGAAACGAACAAATCTGTAATTAAAACTTTATTATTCTGATTCAGTGAAAAGAAAAGTTATTTTTTCTTTTGATTTTAGACTTTATCTCTGCTTTTTAAGTCTAATCACATTGGCGGTTTTATTTATTTGACAACTATATATCACTTTGACAATTAATTTATTAATTAAATAATGATAGTTTTTGTTAAAAATGACTTTGTTTTTTATTCTTAAAGCTGTTTCTTTGAGTTGCTATTTATCAAAATTATGTTTTTCCCACACATTTTTTTTATTTAAGTTGCGAAAACTCATTTGTCAAAGTGACATTATTGTCAAAAAAATAAAACCGCCAATGTGATGGGATTTAAAAAGCAGACATTATTCTAAGTCCAAAATCAAGAGAAAAATGAACTTCTTTCCATTGAGTTTGAATCTGAATCTCTGAAATAAGAGAAACTCAACGATGGTGAAATTCTGTTTGTTTACATTATTTCCATTTTATGACTAAAGGGACCAGGCACCCCGTAGAGAAGGTCGGATGATTGACAGCTGCCACAGAATGCCGGTCTACAAACAGTATGCAACTTACAATACACCAAGTCTGAACAGTTCATTCGGTACAATAAAATGTATCAATATCCCGCCTGAGCATTTCGTAAAAATGCACTGGAGCAGTGATTCCGAGTTTTTTCTTAGTTATGAGAGTTATAAAGGAAAAACTGAATGATTTGTAATTATTAACAAAAAATAACGCAATTAATAAAATTTAGGAAGGAAGGATACAAATTGATATTATGAAGTTGAACCCTTTAAGTTAAAAAACTGGAGACGGTGATGTTTCAAACATAACAAAAAGCAAGTCTATCAGAATATGTATATTTTGGGTTGCGTAAAAAATCGGTTAAAACCAGTTTCATAGTAAAATTAAAAGGAGTTTAAAATTAATGTTGATTTGGAATGTGAAATTTTTGTCAACAAGTCCGTATGAATCAGCACATTCTAAACAACATTTAATTTAATGCTCTTTTAAATTCGATTATGAAACTAGCTCTTTAAGTCTGTATATTATCATTGCCATAGTTCAATCATTCATTAATTTGTTTTAAGATCAGCCTTTGACCAATAAAAAGTTTGGTAAATTATTGAAGTTGTTTACAAAAAGATTTTGTAAGTTTTTGGAAACCAAAATAAACTCGGTTTTGATAGCCAATAACTACGATTATAACTCCTATTTGTTAATATTTATTTTCTTACCATGCAACATTTGTAGTTCAGCCGAGAATTCATCAAGCTCCATTGCAATGTCTTTACTCTGCCCCACATTGGAGGTATTAGCCTTCACATCCTTACTCCTAATTGTAAAATCAAACGACGTCGTAGGTTCGCCTAGTAAGTTTTCTAAATCTTGCACAATATCATCAACATTTTCTGTAATCTTTTCCGTTGATGTATCTGTGATATTCATGTCAAGCAGGTCTTTATCAGACACAATTGGAGATGGATTATCACCCTCTGATATGCCTTTCACTGAACTAATAACTGGATTTACATTGCTCGTGGAGCTCTGTGAAACATCACTAATTGTCTCTGTATTTTTTCCTGAATCCAGTGCATCTGACGATGTGCTGCTAATGGGATCGTCAGCAACTGTAAATAAGTAATTAAAAATTAATCGCAAGTAACACTGAAGATTTTTTTACCAATTTGTGAGGTCGACGTTGTTGTAAATGCATCCGTGGAAGACGTCGGCGTGGAATCACTAGTCTCGGTTTTTTCATCTTTATTCACTGACAGCAGGTTTCCCATTGTTGAGGTTAACTCGCCTTCATTTAGTTTTTCACTTTCCATTTTAAGTTTTACAAAATGTAATTATTTATATAACGCTTTTAAAACACACCGGTTATCACAGATAATTAATTTCACCAATTATTAAATGCGGCATTTTTGTTTATGATTTTAAACAACAAACGCCATCACAAGTGTTTTGGAAGCTTCCGCAACGACGCTAACTGTACACGCGCGCAGAAGCGCGAATTTGTGAATTATCTCTACCGCGAATTGCCGCTATCGTGAAATTTGTGATGTTATTAAAAAAATGTAAAAGTGATCAAGAATGACTGTTTTAATTGGCACAAAAATTGCCCTAGGTTAGTTATATCCACCAGACAACACACCACTACAATGGCGGACACGGAATTTTGGACATCAAATTTATGTCAGTTCAAAAAAAAAACACGCTTTGATGTCATTGTAATTGAACTAAAATTTGAAAGTTTTAGTTGAAATTTATTTTTGGTATCAATTTTTCCGAAACAATAATGCCAACAATACGTGTTATTATACAGGATGCGCCAGAACTCGCGTCCCAGAAAAAAATATCAAGTATGGTAAGATACCAGGAGCATTGAAAAAATGTTTAAAAAATTCAATCTGTCAAAAAATTTTGACATTTATTTTTTCATTTGACATTTTTTATGTCTATTTAATAACACTGATGATCTTGTATATGTTTGTTACAATTATTTAGCAATAATTTTGCCAATAAAAGCCACAAGAAACATTTAACATACGAAGTGATCCAGAAAGACTTAGTCTGTTGGCAACAGATTTGAAAGTATTTTTGTTAATAATTTGAAACACTGCAAACGCGCTATTAGACGTGACGTCACAGACGCGACTCTACCGAAGCTAAACATACAGTGTTGCCAGTTGTGATACTATGGTACCAAATTGATACTAGTTTTTTTTTACTAGATATTTATATTTACTTGTAAACAAGTAATAATTTATATTCTCAGTCAAATGTTGATACTTTTTATTTTGTTTTGGTACGACCTAGCCACTCTGTCGTTTGCAACATTCTGGCAACTCTGTAAACATACTTTAAAGTACACATTACACAAAAAGTGAGGTTAGAACAGATTAACTTACAGAAATGTTGACTACAATTGTTAAAAGTATTACAAAACGACACACATTTTTCATAGCAACTATTTCCTTGGAAACATAATCTCCATATACGTCCAGGATTCCAGAAATAAACTTTTTTTACGTCCATACGAAAAGCATTGGTAACAAAGTATGTTTATTAGTGTAGCTTCAAAGGTACAGTCACGTACCTCACTGACGTCACACTAATAGCGCGTATACTTGACGTACAGTTGCGGAATTAAATTTTCTGGCAGCATTGTCATTTTCACAATGTAAACTCTAAAACAACCTTTACATTAAAGAACTTGAATATATGGAAGGAGAATTGGCGTGGAAGGGGTAAGATTCCATGGCAAGCCACTGCAGATTTTAACTGGTAGTGAAAGTAGGCAACGTTACGTCTGTTGTTGCCTACCCTAAATATATTTTTTTAAATGTACACATAATTTTCTCGTTTAATGTTTTTCTAAATACATTTTTTTTAACAGAATTAAATGATTCAGGACGACATGGCACATCGTGTGACAAAATATCTCTCTTTATGAATTCTTGATTGCTTATTTTTATTAAGCACTATTTTACAGGGTATTGTGTTTTAATGTGATTGTTTTATTTGTTTAATAACGTTTTTTTTTTAAGTTTAGTTCTAAATTTAATTTCAAACCTTTATTTAAAAAAACAACCCAACATTTACATTTTTTAGAGTCAAATATGTCATAAATTTAAACTTTCTATATAAAGAAAAAGAATTCTCTGTTACACTGGATTCTAGTGCCAAAACGCCTCTTTTTTAGAAGTATTGTGGTGCACAGGTGTATTGTTGATTGCATAATTTAGTACAAGTTGCAACTGCCAATATGGCCAATATGGCGACACTAAGGCACTAGGCGGCACCAATTCTCCTTCCCAGTGATGCCAGAATAGGGAATTTTTCCCTAGTACTAGAGATTTTTGTAACAAAAAAAGAAAAAGGGATTTTTTTCAATTTATCTTAATAATCTAGGGACTTTTTACATTTTCAGTGAAAATCTCAATTTTTTCACACTGCTGGCACAGTTTCAAAAATTACAAAAATTATTAATATGAATATTGTAACTTCGCCAAGTTAGCGCATTTGTATATGAGTTTAGTATTTGTATGTATATAGTAACAAGAAAACCAAAAATATATATTCTGTAGTTGTGTAAAGACAAAAAAAAACAAGATAACTAAAAGCTGTTTGCGTTTTTCGCGTTGCCAAGTTTACTAATTATTGCAGTTCATTTACAAAAAAGACGAATATTTAAAATTAATGGAATCCCAATTTATAAGTATAAATAAAATCTAAGTAGGTATCTAAAAATAGACACGTTTATTTGAATTTGTTTTAATTGACATGTATTTTATTTTTTTATACCTTTAGTAAAATTTATTTTAATTTATTGTTATATTATTTATTGATTTTTTGTTGTTTGGAGTTAACACATTTTTATGTTGTATTTATATTATATTACCTCAACAAAATAAGCCTATGAAATAGTATCTTTTTAATTTTTTAAGTAGTTTAGGGAATTCTAGGGAATTTAGAAGCTACAATCTAGGGACAAGCGCTTAATCTCATCTGGCATCACTGCTCCTTCCATCTATCCTTGTTCTTTGCTTTACATTAATACCATGATACGCATCTAAAGTGAGGAATAAAGTCTCTTTATAGAATGGATAAAATAAATTTTTTTAGCACTAGTTTTTTTTCACAAAGATTTTTTGAAATCCACCAAAGTGGTCGTTTCCTGCATTTGATCATGGAAGAGTCCTGATTTCTGTGCAGGTACTATGGGGTGGTTTCGGATGAACTAAAATAGAGGAAAATGCGTTCTTATTGGATTTTTAAAATTCTTATTAAATTTGTCCTAATTTTTGTGTTTCATTTTTTTCTTAGACGATTTTTTGTGCTAACCCTTTATGACATTGTTTCAAAATTATTTCAAAACGCTAACATCCTTCATTAAAATTACCATGAATGAGTTTGCTAGTGGTGTCAACATTAAGACTATTTGAAATTTTCATTAAAAAAAACAGACTACATCATAATATGGAAATTGGCAGTTCTGTTTTTTTTTTCAAAAAAAGGCTTGATAACAAAATCTGAATTAATTTTTATGCTTAGCTTTTTATCACTATTCGAGAGTTGGTCCGACACTTTTGAATCACCCCCTGTATAATATCAAGATTTAAAAAAAAATGCAAAATCTTGATATTTTGAAACAAAACCGTCGAAAACCCTATAGTATAAGAGCCCGTGGTCGCCAGACCTTCGTCATTTCATAAAAGTTGAAATTTTGTTAGCGCATACTACCAACACAGGTGGGAACGATGAGCAAGTATGAAGTTCTATGTGCAGTTTATAAAATGAATTTAATTCAGTTTTGACAAAGTATCATCATGGGAGGCCTACCCTATATGCTTGTCTGGCCGGGGTTTAGAACTGTCAAAACTGTCTATCTACTAAGGAAACATCTTCTAATAGTTACCCAAGTAACATGTCTAAAATTTAGCTTTTACACTATAACGTAAGTACAGTTACAATTTATTAAAGTTTAAGGGTCTGGCAATCGATGAGATGATTTCTAATATTATTCCGAAGAAAATATAAAAAAATACGCTTTTTTATTTGATAAATTTAAGTTAGTATTTTTTACTTCTTTGCTACCTGTTATCTCGCAAAGCCACGATAACCCAAACTTCATACTTGACCAACGTTCCAACCTGTGTTGCTAGTAAGCGCTGACAAATTTTCAACTTTTATAAAATGACGAAAGTCTGGCGACCGCGGGCTCTTGCTCTACTACGTACACGTACGAGTTCAGCCGTGTTCGCAGTGTTTTAATTCAGAAATAACGTAATACGAATTACATTGTTATTTATAATCCATTTCATTTAAATTGGCATAACAGTAGGCCATGATTGTGTAAACTGCGCTTTAAATGTGAAAAAGGCTTTACATATTAAGGAACTAAATTTGTCACTAAAAAAAGTGAGGTTAAGATAGTTAAAATTTTATTTTTCAAGAATCCTCTTTCAAAGGTATTCAGAGAGAGTTTTTCTCCATAAAAAGTTTCATCCCTTTGTAGGTGTAGTTTTGACACCAAAACATACACTACCTGCTTTGTAGAAAATACAGACTTTCGTTGATAATATGTGGCTTCCAGGAATTTTAAAAGACGTTTTATTCACACCGGAGATGAAACAATTTATTTTCCGTGAAAGTTGCAGCCAAAATGGGTTTGGATTTTGTCCTTAAAAATGTAGGACAAAATTGTGAATTTTTAAACAATGGTAAAGTTGTTGCGATCGGAGTGGAAAAAGGAAATCTGTACAAAATGAAGCTTCGCGTACTGAAGCCTGAAAAATCGTGTTTTGCCGTGGATAAAATAATTTGGCTTAATTCACAATGGTATATTTTATTCCATTAACCTAAAATGCCTAAAACAGGAACAAAAAGAAATTGATTATGTTTTCAAACATACCTTAGCGTGTACCTTAAATCTGGGGTTCTGAAGAGAACTACTTTTAATTATAATTTGAAAAAATAGTAGGAATAACGAACAACCAACGAAATCAGTGAAAAAACGAATACAAATGTCAGTCATGTCAGTTAAATAAACCATGTAGGTAAGTGATCAAAGAAAAACAAAAACCCCATCAGTTGTTATATCAGGGCTACAAACTTAAATACGAAATTCCATAGCCACCTATTATGCCATTTTCAATGAAATATACTTTACTTTGCATTATTGTCAAATGTGAAATTAATTACAAATTAAATTTGAGGCGGTTATTATCGTATCGAATAAGATATCGTAAATTTCGAAACGGATGGCCTGCGGTCAACGTTTTCCATGACTCGATTAATTAATTAATGTCGATTAAAAGCGCATCTAATTTAAATTAAATTTTAATTCACGATTAATTTCACGTTTGACAATGCAAAGCGGACACAGCTGAACCCGTTGTCAACGTTTTCAGAGAAAAAGTTTGAGATGAGTCAGAGGGTCTGTGTATCACCACCAATCACCAGTGTTAATCCTAAGCACCCTAGGCGGTATACATTTGTCCAATAGCGCCAACTTTTATATAAATATGACATTAGGACTGATTTACTGAAAGCGAATTAAAATTTAATTCAGTCTCTTAAACTAATTCGAATTAAGTTGCCATTTACGTTATGTTTAAGAACAAATGTCACATCAGTTACAAATTAAAATGAACAGATTAATAAGTTGAGGTGGCCTTGTTCACTGTTCTGTTTCTTTCTATTATTTGAAAGTCACAGGTAAAGGATTTCATATGAATTTGGTCAAATTTTTCTTAGAAAACGTTGACAATGTGCCCGCCGGCCATCCGTTTCCATTAAGTCAAAATTTGCCATTCAGTGGTCAAAGGTATGACTTGGTTAAGTTCGAAATTTACGATATCTTATACGATACGATAATAACCGCCCCAAATTTAATTTGTAATTAATATCACATTTGACAATAATGCAAAGTAAATAACAATGTAATTCGGATTACGCTATTTCTGAATTAAAACACGGATAAAACACTGCGGACATGGCTGAACTCGATTTCTGTGAAAAATGTCACCAAAATCACATGAAATCCTTTACTGTTGATAAATAGTAAACAACCCTTAACTTCTACGTTAATTAATAAATTTATTAGTAAATAAAACAATAAATTAAYTATTATGTGAAATGGTGACTTTGGACATCAAAACCATGAATCAGATTAATTTTTAATTTTAAAGAAACGTTTCAAATATTATTTTATTCCTTTCAAAATAAGTCAAATGCGATAAGTCATTACTCATAGTCAAAATTCTTAATAATTTGAGCAAACGATTTATCAATTTTCGTCAACCCTCCATCGACCCATCCCAATGCCGGAAAACCGAGAACTGCCGACCATCGGCTCCATCCCATCTGAAACGGTCGAACGTGCCTACTCGAGAGCCGAGTTTTATGTCATTACTTCTGAAGCAGATTGTACGTGCCACAAAAATGACGCCCTTTATGAACAAAGAATGCTTTTAATTCTTAAATAATTTTTGCATTATTTTTTATTTTGTGTATGTCTGTTTAAGGTTTAAAAATATCCTTGTGTGTAGTCTGATGAATGATGATATACTTGTAATATTCCTATATTACATATACAGCGTAAGTCAAAAGTCTGTATAATCACAAGACTAATTTTTTGTACCATTGAACTATTCTCAAAACTGAAAACCAAAATGTACCAACTTTCCTTAGATAGATATAGCTTTTGAAAAATGCAAATTTAATTTTTTATTAATAATATTAATAATAAACTTTCTGAAATATGGAGATTTTTTGGTTTCTACATACAGGATGCGCCATAACTCGCGCCCCAGAGAAAAATTTCAAGTAAGATACAAGGAACATGAAAAAAATGTTTAAAAAATTCTATCTGTCAAAAAATTTTGACAATATTTTATTTTATGGCATTTGACATTTTTTTATGTCTATTTAATGATATTGATGATTTTGTATATGTTTTTTACAATTATTTTGTAAAGGTAAAAAAAATTTGCCAATAAAATCCACAAATAAAATTGAACAGAGTTACAATTTAGGATACAGCTTTTTTGTTTGCTCTTCTAAAAAACTTGGAAAATTATTTTTCCAACAGAAATAAAAAGAGTCAAAGTGCAAAATTTAAACTCGCATAACTTCGAAATTTTTATAGATAAAATTTTTTTAACATTTTTTTCATGTTCCTGGCATCTTATCTTATATGGCATTTTTCTCTGGGGTGCGAGTTCTGGCGCACCTTGTATAGTAACAAATATTCAAATTATTGAGTGTAAGCACAAGCAAAATGTTAACGATGGTAATTAGTTTTATATTTAATTTATTTATTTTGATAAATTCCAATCAATCATAAAAACAATTAAATGTCCATAATATTCGGTAGTAAAGATTTGGTTTTCCTCCAAAATTTTGTACCTTGTCATATCTCTTTGTTAAAAAATCCACCAAAGATAACAATGATTAATAAAGTGGTCTTTTATTAAGTCTCTTAAACTTGATAAGTTCGTACGAAATGTCTAGACAATCTTTTAACCTGAATGAACAGGTTAATAAAACAATATTATCAATTTTCTAAGATTTGTTTAATTATAATATCACTATATAAAGGGAACATCTACCTCAAAAATTAATCATTTCTAAAATGAAATTTGTAGTACTGTTTGCACTAGTATTGGCAACCGTCTCAGGTAATCCATTTTTCTTCTGTTTTAAAACATTAAATAACAAATTAATTAAAAGCGGTTCCACCGTTCCTTCGCAAGAACAAATTCTTTCCCGACGGAAGAATCGTCGGAGGTTCCGATATTCCTATTGAACAGGTACCTTGGCAAGTTTCTTTCCAGTATTATGGTTCTCACATCTGCGGTGGTTCTGTAATTAGCGAAAAATACGTTGTCACTGCTGGTCATTGCACTGATGGGTAAATCTCCTCAAATCTTTTTCAAATACTTAAATTATTTTATGCTTTAGACTTACAGAAGATAACATTTCCATTCGTGCAGGAACTTCCATTCGAGGATCAGGAGGCCAAGAAGTAAAAATTGCGAAAATCCACCAAAACCCTAAGTTTGATTACAGTAATATCGATTACGATATCACCATTTTGGAACTGGCCACTCCTTTGGAACTGTCAAATAAGGTAGCTCCTGTTAAATTGCCAGAAAATGGACAGGTCTGGCCTGATGATACAGAAGTTCTTGTAAGTGGCTGGGGAACTACCGAAGAAGGTTCAAGTATTCTTTCCTCGGCTCTGCAAGGAGTTACTATACAAATCATCTCGTATACTACGTGCATACAAGCTTACGGTGAAGATATTATAACTACACGCATGTTGTGTGCTGGAGTGAATGGTGGAGGTAAAGACTCCTGCCAAGGAGATTCTGGTGGTCCACTGGTCGTGGGTGATGTTCTTGGGGGAATTGTTTCGTGGGGGGCAGGATGTGCTCGCCCTAATTTTCCAGGAGTTTATTCAAACGTAGCTGTGCTTCGTGATTTTATCACCGAAGTAACAGGATTGTAAATTTATGGCTTTGTCATTAAAAAAAAAAAGTACTTTTTTAATACCCCTGAACAGTCGAGTACTAAACACTTTGTTAATGAATAGAAAATATTTAATTACTTATAAAAGTTTTTTTCAGTACATTTAAAAGGGCACCTTTTAAAAAAAAAATTTCTAGTAAAACTAATTAATTTAATATTCACACATTTACAAACAAAATGTTTCCGAGAGCTAAACTGGAATGTCGCAAACCGTTCAAAAACAAAATTGTGGTATCAGGAGCACAGCAGTGGTAAAGTTGAATAGGATTATCTATTCATAAGATATTCGCAAAAGATAATGTTTCTAATTAGTAATTACTTCTAATAAAAACTATTAAAACAAATTACAAGAAACATACTAATATTGTTATAAGTAGCGTGCGATCAAAATAGTGTATCATGCAACTAGTGTTATAAACGCCACTTTAGACATGAGTTTTATTAGGCACGAGCGAAGCGCAGAGGAGCCGAGCAAGTGTTTAATAAAATGAATGTCTAGAGAAGTTTATACACGTGTTACATACTATACTTTTTCTACGATCACCACCAAAAAAATACGTAAATAAAAAAATATTTGTACTTAATTTTAATTTAATTTGGTATTATAGTTTACCTTTGTAAATTGTATTCCTTGTCAGAAGCAAACGATAACAATTCTTTAATTTGTTGTTTTCGACTTTTTAGGTTTATAACCATCAGATTTACCCTTCAGCAACGCACACAATTTGGGATATTTTCTCATGTCAACATTGTTTTTTAGGTTAAGCGTCATCCGCAACATTGAGTAGACTGTCCACAAAGAAGACGGTTTCATCCTTTTCTAAAGATCTTGAAAATATGCAAGCAGCACATTCTCAGATAAAGAATTTATTTAATTTCTTGACCCCAATCTTGGAAAAGTTTATATGCACGTTTGTACTGACTTTTTGATTTTTCCGGCAATAAACTAGCAGTTGCCGAGGCCGCTGCTTCGATAATCTCGGGTAGAGTGCAAATTCCATTAAAAACAACATCTTCTCTTTCATTTTCGTTCATTTTTCACAAGCCGCAGTTCCGTCGAAATGACAACTAATTGATAACTAACAGAAAGCACGTCGGTGAAGTTAGTTAGCAATAAGTAATATTTTTCTTGCTCGCAAAATTACAGTCGACCAAAAATTTTCTGCTCTCGCCACAACGCGTTCCCCCCAAGATTTTCGTTTCGTGCGGCCAGAGTCACACTCGAAAAATTATTAGAATTACAGAAAGCTAACTTCAGCCCATGACTAATATGACATTTGCTATTAGCAACGTGACTAACACGCCTATAAGTCACGGATTGTCAAGATGTGTATAAAAGGTCACTTAGCGTCATGGAAACATATGCGATAATCCGTGTTTTAGATGTGGGAGTAGAAAAATAGTATATTATGATACGAGTTTTATAAGAAGCATTTTGTCGCACGCACGTGTTTAGGTGCAGTAAGTGCGACAAAATGACTTATAAACGAGATATCATACAGTATTTTTTCTACTTTGCACTTTTTTAAACAAAAAAATAAAAATTTTGGAATGTAGGGAATTTTGCGTCAGTTGGCGACATTGCGTGGTGGCTAGGTGGCTATTAAATAAATTAATTTGAAACGTCATTATTTTATTCGTAAAAATGAATTTCGAAGGTGTCGAAGACGTTTTGCAATGTACGGCGTTAGAAATACCGACCTTGACGGCAAATACGATGAACAGTTTACCTAACCACAAAAGTCTCAAAAGTAACAGTAAGTAAAAAAAAACAAGTTAGCCTTGTATCCCCAGAACGAATGGCGATAGAAGTTTGATATGAGGCGATGTAATTTAAATACTTTTAAGCGTATACCAATAAGTTTTGATGAATAGTTTTTATAATATTTAACTGTATTTATACTTTTTAGCGATCCTGTATAATATTTTTCGATATACAAGCTGCACCAGAACTCGCGTCCCAGAAGAAAATGCCATATAAAGTAAGATACCAGGAACATGGAAAAAAACGCTAAAAAAATTTATCTATAAAAATTTCGAATTTATGAGAGTTTAAAGTTTGCACTTTGACTCTATTTATTTCTGTTAGAAACCACAAGGAAAAAAACGTACCTGTGTAAACACCTCAGTCGAATAAATTCGTAAACGTAAAAACTCGATGTAGAATGGCCGTGTTCAAAAATAAATTAAATATTACATTTTAAAATTCCAAGATAAAACTATAAAGTACCACCAACGTGCAGTTGCGGAATTAAAATTTCTGGCAGTATTATCATTTTCATAATGTAAACTCTAAAACAATCTTTACATTAATAACTTCATTTTTTACTCTTGTCACGTTTATGTCATTTTCACTTATTTACTTTCAAAAATAGTGATTTGTGGCATAATAAGATCAAAGCAATGATATAATTAAACTTAGTTCAATTAATAAATTTCCTGAGACAGACAAATTGTTTAATTAACGCTTTTAACAACAAAAATAAGTTTATTGTCAAAGGTCAGTCATGATGATAGTAAAGGATAGTTTACAATTACAGAAAAATACTGCTCTTTAATTTAACTTTAATTCCGCAACTGTACCTAAATAATAGGTTATGCTGTGCTTTTTTTCTTGTGCGCTTTTTTCCGTGTACGCTTTTTTCCTTGTGCGTTTTATTCCTTGTACGCTTATTTCCTGTGCGCATATTTCCGGTCATACCTTCGACGGGCTTCAAACAACTCCTTCGGTGATTTTGGCCTCCTTAACAGTCCTGAATACGTAAATTATAACGCACTCAAAGAAGTTGTTAACGCAACCAAACGAGGCGCAAAATAGAAAAATAAACTTTAAATGTCTATTTTCAAAACACTTATGTTTGATAACATTTCCGACGTTTCAGAGCACTTTTTTCTCAGAATCTGTTTGTTCAATTTTTACTTAATCTAATGATCTGATTTATCTAAAACTACATCATTCATTGTATTCCATTTGACATTTAGGTCCAAATTAATCTTAATTTAATACTTATAATGTTTCCGTTTCCATTGATTATTATTAATAGATACCAATCAGGTACACCTTACTCAGAAATAACAATCTTTGTTTAGAGATTTCTTAAAAACGTCTCTATCTGTTAAGCTTTTATTAAAATTAAAAAAGTAATTAAAAAGTAGTAGATATTACAAAAACAATTGATTCAATTTCAAGTATCATCATGTAAAAATAACATTTTTATAAAAATAATAAAACATCAATTTACGAAAATTGTTTATACTTAATAAATGTATCTTGTTTCAAATTTATAAAATAACCTCTTTTTAAATAGTAATGGATTTTTTGGCTCTAAAGTTATTTCTAGGATTCAGCATAAAGCTATAACAATTTTTTTCTATTATTTCTTTGTTTCAAAATACACAATACAATATTTGTCTTATTTAATAAGTTAACCTGTAGACAAGCCGATTTACAGAAAGTAAATTAAATTTTAATATGGAATGAAACCAATTCGAATTAAGATGTCATTTCCAAATTAATTTCTCAATAGTGAGTGGCTCTATGTAATAGGTTTCTGGTACGGTCTTCCACGAAATTGTAAAATTCGCTTATGATTCTTAATTTATTTCTTAATGAGTATTGTACATACATATTAATGTCCAAAAAGTCACGGACCAAGAGAAATTTCARGTTAGATAAAATACCAAGAACATGTAATTTTAAAAAAATCTATCTCTCAAAAAATTTGGACATTCATGTCTGTTTAATGTTACTGATGATCTTGTACATACACGATGAATAAAAAGTGGGAAACCAAGCTTTTTTTTCGTAAACTAACCACTTTACAAAAAAATAATTAGTGCAGTATAAGGTACATACTCTAAAAATGGGATCGTTTTTCAAAAAGAAATGTTTTCGAAATTTAAAGACTGAAAATGACTTCTAATTGAATAAAATTATTTTTTAAACACTAGTTTTTTTAATAAATTCTTAAAGATTTTTTGAAATTTTGAAAATCAATCAAAGTGGTTGTTTCATGCATTGGATCATGGAAGAGCCCTGATTTCTGTGCAGTACTATGGGTTGGTTTCGGATGGACTAAAATAGAGGAAAATGAGTTCTTATTGGATTTTTAAAATTCTTATTGAATTTGTCCCAATTTTTGTGTTTCATCTTTAAATTTTCTTAGACGATTTTAGCTCAATAAATAAAACATCACGCCAAATGTGCTTTCGGTTAAACGTAGTAAGCTGTTACGCGATGCGCACCTGTGATTGTGGATAAAACGTTATATTGCAGTCGTGTGTTATCGCGTTTTATAATAAAGTTACTTTATTCCACTAGTAGATAAACTGGTACTTGATACGCAACTAAAGTGAGGAATAAAGTCTCTTTATAGAGTGGATAAAATATTTTTTTTAGCACTAGTTTTTTTTTCACAAAGATTTTTTGAAATCCACCAAAGTGGTCGTTTCCTGCATTCGATCATGGAAGAGTCCTGATTTCTGTGCAGGTACTATGGGGTGGTTTCGGATGGACTAAAATAGAGGAAAATGAGTTCTTATTGGATTTTTAAAATTCTTATTAAATTTGTCCTAATTTTTGTGTTTCATCTTTTTCTTAGACGATTTTTTGTGCTAACCCTTTATGACATTGTTTCAAAATTAATTCAAAACGCCAACATTCTTTATTAAAATTACCATGAATGAGTTTGCTAGTGGTACCAACGTTAAGACTATTTGACATTTTCATTAAAAAAAAACAGACTACATGATAATATGGAAATTGACAGTTCTGTTTTTTCTCAAAAAAAGGCTTGATAACAAAATCTGAATTAATTTTTATGCTTAGCTTTTTATCACCATTCGGGAGTTGGTCGAACACTTTTGAATATAAAAAAACACCCCCTGTATAATATAAAGATTTTTAAAAAAATTACAAAATTTTGATATTTTGAAACAAAACCGTCTAAAATTCTACGAACGTGCCACAAAAATGACGCGCTTTTTGAACAAAGAATGCTTATAATTCTTAAATAATTTTTGCATAATTTTTTATTTTGTTTATGTCTGTTTAAGCTTTAAAAATGTCGTCTGATGATAAACTAGTATTTATTTTTTGCAAAACAAAACATCCCAAAGTTTTAAAAGATGCTCGAATGGACCAGCTTCAAAATTTAGTTTGTTAATTAAAATTGTTAGCGTTTTTTTCCAAAGCACTCTTCGCAAAAACACGTTTTCTTAATTTTGATCAGCATGTAAAATTTGATCATATTGTGTGATACATCGTTGTAATCAGGAACAAGAAGATTTTTTAAAAATACGTAAATCAAATATAGCATCCATAAGAAAATACAAAGTTGAGTGTTGTAACTCTAATATCAAGAACGCCTTGAAAAATACGATGACAGATTTAGATTGCTTGTAAGAAAGTGCTTTAAAAACGTTCTAGTTAAAAACGTCTACGTCTTTTAGTTTTCGCTTGAAAAAATAAAAACCAAAATAACAAATTTCCGTTTTCTTCCAATAATTCAAAAACTAAAAATCACACATTAAATTTTCTTTCAGATTATTGTTCAGCATAAAAATGTGCAACTTTGCCCTAATTTAACCGACCTCGTATCTCTTATAATAACTGAAGTAGAGCTCGAAAAACGAACCCCCTGTATAGTAACAAATATTCAAATTATCGGGTGTAAGCACAAAGTGGTTCAAAATGTACTGCAACGATGCTCATTTGTGCTATATTTAATTTATTTATTTTAATAAAACAATGTACTATTCCAATCAATCATAAAAGAGTAATTCCATGCCAAAACGATCACTTTTAAAACTCATTGTTTCTGATTATTGTAAATTTGAGATATGTTATAGAACGTCTAAAAATTAGTGACACGTATTCCACCGTTTTATATTTTTTCAATGTATGTTGAAAAAACAGGGGTGTACAAAATTAAGTATCTCATAACAAAAAGAATTTTTATCTAAAGAACAAATCAACACATTGAAACATTTGGCAACATATCTCAAAAACGATAAGAGCTAGAAACTTGAAATTTGGTATGTAAGTTACTTGTAGGTAGGTGACGCAGCACGAAACAATTGGTAAAAATTGGTATCACCGTTCGGCCGCAAAGACCAAAAGTGGCTATAAAGCGGCCGCAAAATTATACGGTTAAAGATACAATAAATTCATGGTGATACAAATTATTTAGAATCATGAAATATACCTTATTAAACAGTAGATGTGATAAAACAAAAGAATAATGGGTACCAAAATAAAAAAAAAACAGCGACAACTACGATCAATTTCGCGTGTAATCCGACAGGTGGCACTAACGCAAGTTAGGTTTGCTACTCGGAATTCCAACACTAAATTATTGTCGTTAGGATGTTTTCCGAATAAGGATGAGGRTAAGGAAAGTCGTGTGATGTTCACACCATATTTTTTTATTCTATTTTCTGGTATTAAAATAAAAGTATGTAGATTTCGCGTACCTTTTATGGGTTTCGCTCGACTAAAATGATCATTTAAAAAATCGTAGTCTTTCAACTTGTAAATCGTAAAGTCTTTCAATACAGAGTGGGTCAAAAGTTCCGGACCTACGTAACATGCCATGTAAGGTAAGATACCAGGAGCATGGAAAATATGTAAAAAAAATCTATCTATAAAAACTTTGAAGTTATGAGAGTTTAAATTTTGCACTTTGACTTTATTTGTTCCTGTTGGAAAAATAATTTTCCATGTTTTTTTTTTGCTACAGGCAAAAAGAAGAAACAAGGAAGCTGTATCCTAAATTATAACTCTATTTAATGTTATTTGTGGATTTTATTGGCAAAATTTTTGTACCTTTATTAAATAATTATAAAAAAAACATACAGGGTGTTTGAGGATTGCGAGCAAATATTTTAACCACTAATAGGACTCGTCAAAAAAAACAACTTTTTTTTATTCCAACTTTTGTTGAAAGCACGTCATTTATGAGTTAAAATTAAAAATAAATTGAGGCTGAAAACCCGTCCCCGCCTATGTCTTAATACGATGTTTACAATCATTCATAAGAAAAAACTTTGGAACGTAAACAGCGTAAAGACAAAAAAAATTATCGCTACATTAGGGTTCGYACACACAGCCCTTCAAAGGTATAAATTTGAGCTGCGTACACTAATTCACTAATTGTTTCATGTGAACCCCCAAAAAACACACGTATTTAAATCTGGTGACCGCGGTAGTCATTGGCGACCAATCCATCTCTAGGGAAAATGATTGTTGAATCCATTGGTGACGACTTTGGCATAATCTGATGGAGCTCCACTTGTAAATACCGCATGTGTCGCCAAGGGCACGTCCTCCACCAAATCGGACAACACATTTTCCAAAAAATCCAGATAAACGACACTAGATAAACGTTGAGGAAATATGTGGAGTCCAATTTGGCGATCTTTAATGATCGCTGACCAAACATTTAGTGAAAATCAGTCTTGGAAGTGATGTCCGTACACTAGTTAATTTGGCGTTAGGGCAGTTGGCCATAATGACTTGATTGAAAATTTGATTTCAAATCGATGTGCACAATTCACTTGAAAGCGCATAATCGACTAACTAAACTGACACGTGTAAACAAGTGATAATTTTTTTGGACAAAAAGTTTCTTTTTTTCTGTATAAAAACTTTCACGGTCAACATTCAATGCAATACGCTCTATTAGTGTGACGTCAGCAAGGTACGTGACTGTACCTTTGAAGCTAAACAAATAAAAGTTTATTTCTTGAATTCTGGACGTGTAGGGAGATTGTTTCTAAGGAAATAGTTGCTATGAAAAATGTGTGTCGTTTCGTAATGGTTTTAACAATTGTAGTCAACATTTCTGTAATGTAATCTGTTCTAACCTCACTTTTTGTGTACGTCAAAAATATGTGTACAGCATTGCCAGAATGTTGCAAACGACAGGAGTGGATAGGTCGTACCAAAACAAAACAAAATAAAAAATATTAACATTCACATAATGTGTATTTGGCTGAGAATATAAATTATTATTTGTTTACAAGTAAATATAAATATCTAGTAAAAAAAATTCTAGTATCAATTTGGTACTCTAGTATCACAACTGGCAACACTGTATGTTTAGCTTCAGTACAGTCGCGTCTGTGACGTCACCTCTAATAGCCCAACTTCCAACTAACAAAGACAGACACACTGAACGGCTCGTGAAAATCATAGGGGGGAAATTGCAAAAATAACATTTGGATACGGAATTTGTTTGGTCTTCAATTCGACTTTTCATAACAAATTCTCTTATTGGTTAAAATATTTGCTCGCAATCCACAAACACCCTGTATACAAGATCATCAATATCATTAAATAGACATAAAAAATGTCAATTTTCAAAAAATAAATGTAAAAATTTTTTGACAGATTTTTTAACATTTTTTTCATGTTCCTGGTTTTTTACCTTACGGTGGCATGGTCACGTTGGTCCGGGAATTTTGACACATCCTGTATAGCCAAACGTAATATGTGAAATATTTACTCAACCGAAGAATTTGTTTTTTATTATTGATATTTTTTGAAAAATAAATGATAATAAATTATTGGAAATTATGTGTTTTCTATTTAATTTCCTAGGAAACGCTACCTTCAAGCGATCTTAGGGGATCATGCACATTCTTAAAACGTCCGTCTTGAAACTTATATGAAGACATAGTAAAAATGTGAGAGTTTTTACACAAATTTTTTGAGAATCTTAAAAACCTGCGTAATTGTTTATTTTTCTGTTTAAACAATATATTTTTAAATTATTTGTTAATAAAATTTTTGTAGAGTACATGTATTATCACGTTCGTAATGCCTATTTATATCTATTATTTAAAACAAAAATCATTTCAATATGTTGATTTTGTTTTGTAAATAAAAATTCTTTTTGCTCCGAGGTACTTAATTTTGTACATCCCTGTTTTTTTCAACCTTGAAAAAATAAAAAATGGTGAAATACGTGTTCTATAACATGTCTCAAATTTACGAAAATTAGAAACAATGAGTTTTAAAAGTGATCGTTTTGGCATGGAATTACTCAAAAACAATTAAATGTGCATAACATTCAATAGTAAAGACTTGGTTTTCCTCCAAAATGTTATACCTTGTCATATCTCTTTGTTAAAAAATCCACTAAGAATAACAATGATTGATAAAGTCGTCCTTTATTAACTCTCTTTCTTTGATAAGTTTGTACGAAATGCTTCTAATAAAGGCTCGACAATTTTTTAACCTGAATGAACAGATTAATAATACAATATTATCAATTTTTTAAGATTTGTTTAATTATACCTAATATCACTATATAAAGCAAATACCTATCTCAAAAATTTATCATTTCTAAAATGAAATTTGTAGTACTGTTTGCACTAGTATTGGCAACCGTCTCAGGTAATCCATTTTCCTTCTGTTTTAAAACATTAAATAACAAATTAATTAAAAGCGGTTCCACCGTTCCTTCGCAAGAACGGATTCTTTCCCGATGGAAGAATCGTCGGAGGTTCCGATATTCCTATTGAACAGGTCCCATGGCAAGTTTCTTTGCAATATAATGATAAACACTGGTGCGGTGGTTCTATAATTAGCGAAAACTACGTTGTCACTGCTGGCCATTGCACTTACGGGTAAATCTCTCCAAATCTTTTTCAAATACTTAAAAATTACTTTATGTTTTAGACTTACAGAAGATGACATTTCCATTCGTGCAGGAACTTCCATTCGAGAATCAGGAGGCCAAGAAGTCAAAATTGCGAAAATCCACCAGCATGATAAGTTTGATTCCATTACTGTCGATTACGATATCACCATTTTGGAACTGGCCACTCCTTTGGAACTGTCAGATAAGGTAGCTCCTGTTAAGTTGMCAGAAAATGAACAGGTCTGGCCTGATGATACAGAAGTTTTTGTAAGTGGCTGGGGAACTACCGAAGAAGGTTCAGATATTCTTCCCTCGGCTCTGCAAGGAGTTACTATACAAATCGTCTCGTACACTACGTGCAGAGAAGCTTACGGTGAAGATACTATAACTGCACGCATGTTGTGTGCTGGAGTGAATGGTGGAGGTAAAGACTCCTGCCAAGGAGATTCTGGTGGTCCATTGGTCGTGGATGATGTTCTTGGGGGAATTGTTTCGTGGGGGGCAGGATGTGCTCGCCCTAATTTTCCAGGAGTTTATTCAAACGTAGCTGTGCTTCGTGATTTTATCACCGAAGTAACAGGATTGTAAATTTATGGCTTTGTCATTAAAAAAAAAAGTACTTTTTTAATACCCCTGAACAGTCGAGTACTAAACACTTTGTTAATGAATAGAAAATATTTAATTACTTGTAAAAGTTTTTTCAGCACATTTAAAAGGGCACCAAATTAAATGCACAGTATATTATTTAAAATGTCAAGTATTTTTGATCAGTAAAAATAATAAATGCATAGTAAAGAAAACGAATGAATGTCTATTAAACCTACACATTTACAAACAAAATGTTTCCGAGGGGAAAAATGGAATGTCGCAAACCTTTCAAAAACAAAATTTTTGTATCAGGAGCACAACAGTGGCGTACGCTCATTACACTGATTATTACTATTTGTGCACAGTTTCCAGTCCTTGCTAAAATCATTCTTGCGCAGGGGCCCTTGCTAAAACATACAGGGTGTTTCATATAATTTTACGAGGCCTGTGCCTATAAGATGCAATCAATAATACATATTTCGATACGAACTTGATTAAAAATTTTGAAAAATTGGATAATCTTCTCTAGTTTGTTCATCCTTTCAAAAATTACATTTTTAGTTTTTTTTAGTTTTAGTTTTAATAATTTTGATTAAAGTTACTGAGCGTTTATTATTTTTACTGTGCAAAATATTATATTATACCTACTGATTTTTATTTTTTCACTATGCAAAAATTAATTAAATACTGAATGTTTCGCGGCGGAGACAACGATAGGGAAGAGGTAAATGAAAATTCCTACCTTTGAGTGCTCCCACGTAGAATCCAACCAAAAGGATGAGGTAGGAAAATAGGAAAGGAAGGGAAAGAGGTTGGGATGATAGGAATCTTCACTAATTCTTTAAAATCTGCGGTTCTGCTGAGCAATTTCCAATATTATCACTTTCTAGTTTCAAGACGAGTGATTCCAACAAATACAAATAATTCACACGAAAAAACCAAACATAAACCGAAACCTTGTTTTTTTAACATAAACATTTTGTTTTTCTTAACAACCGAAACTAGGGCCGAATGTCAACGCTCTCTTTAAATTAACTAAATACAAATTATAAATTATTATGAGAAAATAAGGACGCGACATTGATCATTTATCATTTTACACTGATCAACATTAAATTACATATTTACTGAGCGCTTTATTGATACCCATTTAAAAGTTAACATTAAAATATTTTTATCTACTAGCATATTAGAATCAAACCTCGTAATAGTAGAGAATTTAACTAGTAAAAAAGAGTGATAGTTTTATAACAAGATAATTTACGAGCGTAGCGAGTGTATTAAATTTTCACGAGCTAGAAAACTCACTTATCTTAAGCGTTAATCATGCTATTTTTTGTGTGCCTACTAACTGAAAATTAGTAAATAAAAGCAATATTTTCTTATAATTTATTTAGACTTTAATATTACCTATAAGTTTCTCTGTGCAAAAGAATGGTAACCACAAATAGAACTACCCTTAAGGGTATAGAACACCAAAATTAATTTTACAATTTTTTTTTGATAATATAGAAAAATAGCTTACTACAATTATAAGATATTGCGGAAAAATATTTAAAAAATTCTATATTTATTTATAACGGTGTAAAAGGATTTTGAACCTGAAATTTCAGGAATTTTATTCAAGCCAACGGTAAAAATCTGTAAAAAATTTATAATTTTGTTTTACAAAACCCATTAGAAACGTGTTTCTGTTGTTATTATTGAGCTTTTTTTTATTTTTCTAATTTATTTATTACAAAATCACTGTTTAAATTTTTGCATTTTTCACATTGCAATGCAAGACTTTATCTCACAGAAAAAAGGTGTTTTCTCTCAATCATGACATGAAATAATAAATTTTCAACAACAACATCATCAATTTTTTTTTAATTTGAGTGTAAGTTAATTAAGTTGAAGAGGAATTTAGTTTCACTATGGTTAATGTTCACACCCAATATTTGGCTCAGCCCATTTCTATTATAATTTTTATGACATCCCGGTCGGACCTTCCTACACAACTCAGGGAAGTCAAAAGAACATGGCGTTTTCTTCATTTAAAATGTAAACTGAAAATTCATACTTAATTAATTCGTTTGGAGTCCAATAATTATTTACATTACTAGCTAAAAAAGCTTACTTTTAGGTGCGAGGTTATTTAAAAACTCCGAGCACCTGAAAGAGCGTGTAATGTATTAAACTTCATTCTCCCGTGGACATTTAATAAAATTCAATGATTATAATAATATAATTCAGTAATTATAATAATATAATTAATAATAATAATATTAGCCGTAAATCGCAAAATTTAATTTGTGTTCGTTCACAGCATCGTGCAGGTTGTGTCGAGTGTTAGTGTTTTTCAAAATGCCTAAAGCAAAAAAACCAGTGTCGCGTTGTATAACACAAAATAATAGATCATCATTAATTAGATCATTACACAAAAGTTTAAGGTAAGTGTTTTTTAATTTGTTTTTATTTGCACTATATTTTTATAAAATAATAAAAAAAGCATGGGCTATACAAAAGTATAAGTAAAATTTCTATATTATTCAATTCATATGTAGAGATCGGATTTTTTGGAAGACAAAAACTTTATTTAGGTGTCATGGTGTCAAAAAAGGGTAAAATTTGAATCTTTTATAACAAAACTCTAGATGATCCCCAAATTAACACAGCCAAACTGTGTTATAAACTAGTTGATGGGAATATTGCGTGAGTATTTCAATTCTATTACAAGATATGCTTATTGATTTTTATTTTTATCAGGTCCAAGGACAATTGAACATCACAAGAAGAAATTTTTGTGATATCATTCTTTTTACGAACGTCGATTTTGTTGTGAAGAGAATAATGACGGATGCCATTTTTTGAGAAGACATGTTGCCCAAACTTCAAAAATTTTATATGGGCAATATTCTGTTCGAACTAAGAGATCTAAGAATTCTATCTAAGAATCCGAGGGAACCGGAGTACAGGATAATGGCACATTTAAAAAAGCATGAAAAAAGAAAGGAAAGTGCGATTGTGCTTATTGTAAAAAATATAAATAAAAGTTTTCCATATTATGTTTGTTATTTTATTAAAAAAAAACCAGTGTTAACCAATTTTTCGTGTCTAATGTTGGTATTTCAATAAATTGATTTAAAATACAGAGTGGTTATAAATGATTTTCATCTAGCCAGCTTTGGAATTTGTTTGCATGTAACATTATTTGTGCCGCTCTACTTTTTTGAAAGCTTTAGTTCTGTCATTAGTGTCACTTATTAATTAATAATAAATTGTTGTTAATTAATTTTTTTTGTTTCAACTAATTTCCAATAATAATTGAACTTTGGAAGAAAACAAGTTTATAATTGAAGTCTATTTTCGAAGTGGACGCTTAGTAAACGGTGATTTTTCAATTTTGAGTTACAGCAAGTAGGTACCCCTATTTTCGTAAAGAGGCATTTTTTATTGTACATGGAAAATTCACAGCTGGCTAGATGAAAATCATTTATAACCACTCTGTATATATTTTTTTTCAATTTTTTTCAGTTTCGTCAAGAAACTGCAGCCACATTTTTATACTTGCTCCACCACCCTCTAGGGGTCGACCCAAGTCCAACAGTATTTCCTATCTCTATTAGTAGATATCAGTAATACAGTTTAAAAACTATCCACTTACCGAATTATACAGGGTGTGCCAAAACTTTTGTACCTTTACTACATAATTATAAAAAAAATATATAGAAGATCATCAGTATCATAAAATAAACTTAAAAAATGTCAAATGACAAAAAATAAATATCAAATTTTTTTGTCAGATAGAATTTTTTAAACATTTTTTCCATCTTATTTTGTAGAGGGTGTTAAAAAGTTCAGGAGGTAATAGTATAGACCAAAACAAACAAAAAAACCTTAACAAACATGGGTCTGCAAAATAACGGTTTCGTAGATATCGAAAATTATTCGTTCTTTGAAACATTTATTTGCAGTCTGTTTAAACAAAAAAGAGAAGCTTCTATACAAATTCTAAAAATTTTCACATTCGATATCTATCTTTATTTTGGTCCATACTATTACCTCCCTAAAGATTTTACAATCTTTTTTAACTATGTTACCTGTGTTCATTAAACTCAAGTGCTTCGACAAATATTTTGCATGTCTTTGAGTAATTCACTTGTCAAGATGACATAATTAAAACTCTTTGGTGGACGATCCATACAGGCTCTCCAAAAATTGCGTGCACAAACTTTTAGGGGTAATTATATACCACAAATTATGAAAAGAAATTTCTATCAACATGGGTCCAAAAAAGCTTCTTTACGACCCTGTAAAAGTGGGCTCTCAAATGTGCTTTTTAAAATCATTTCTGTTAATATTTTAATTAGAAAATCAAAACTACGCACCCGTAGGTTTTTTAGGATGCTGAATCGATAGGCATAATAATTTTTTTAAATCTTGGTCAAGGGCGCACAAATAGGAGAGGCTGCAGTAAAAATCTCTTAATACTTTTTGCCTCTTATACTTTTTGCAAATTTAATACCATAATAAGACAAAAAAAACATTTTTTAAAGAAACTCTTGGTAAAATGTTGTAGAAGGCATCGTTTTCGAGATACAGGCCATGTTTAATGTCAATGCACTGAGGTAATAGAAACAATGTAATGAATAAAAACATAGTTGTTGTTAAATATTAACAAATAGTATATTAAAGAACAAGTTTTATAAGGGTTGATTTGGCGCACAAATCCCAAGTTAGAAAACGAGTCGTAGGCGTATTTTAATTATTTTAGGCTTATTTTAATTAAAAAAAAATATTTTTTTGTCGTCTAGAGAATTTTGATTTAGTTGGTATCGGTTGGTAACACTCGGCGCCCACCTGATTTTTTGAATCATTTCTGCCGTCTGTCATTAAAAATAAAATTTACAAATTATTAGTTATTAGTGTTACAACATAATAATAATAATAATAAATAAAATATGAGCCAAGAGAATTTAGTTTGCACTCAGAAGAGGCATACAAAAACGAAATAACCCTATAGTATATTAAAGAACAAGTTTTATAAGGGTTGATTTGGCGCACTAATCCCAAGTTAGAAAACGAGCCGTAGGCGAGTTTTCTATGGGATGAGTGCGCCAATGCCATTATAAAACGAGTATTTTATGATATTTTTTCTAATTTGCGCCCCCTTTTTTCTTATTTTAATTAAAAAAATTATATATTTTTGTCGTCTAGAGAATTTT